AAGCAAAACTATAATCACCTAAACCTTAAAATATCTTTCATGGTTTTTAGAAAGAAACAAGTCTTTACTAGTTTGTGAAGAGACATATCTGAAGATGATTACGACCTTCAAAAACTGTCAAAAGTAATTCACCAACCCATCGAACCATTCAACGACCCCTCGAGCACTAAGTGAAGAGTTGTATCAAAGAAGTTCATCATTCGTGTACTTCTGGAATATAAAATATTGATATTTAAGAAGAAAGAATTCATAATGTTAAAGAACGTACCAAAGCAGATTTTAGCTTATTATTCTTTCGAAATAATTCCGTGTGTTTTTGACCCATTTCAAATTGTTCTTCCTGCTTTTTGAATAGTTCGTGATACAATGGCCGGTGTTGCTCAAACAGTTCGGTAAATTTATTTTTCCAATCGATATCTTCTCTAAAATAACCCATATAACAAAACATAATCATTAAAAGAAGCTTACTCTTGTTCCTGAGAGAAGGAGTCAGAACCTGAAGTCAGAACTTTCTCCGGTTTTCGCCTTGCCATTGATTAAGCTTTCGGTCGCAAAAAAACTAAAAATAAAAAGTCAAGTTTTTAATGTAAACAATATTTTCAGTTCAATAAGCATAAATTAATGAATGAAACTGAAAGAAAAAAATGAAATGAAGTGAAACTTATGAAAACCGTGACAAGAGTAGAAAAGGTAGCATTGGAAAATGTAACGTCTGCTAGATAAAATTGAAACACAACGCCAAAGACAAAAAGACGCAATACTTCAAAGTGACAATTCTTTATTTATCCACCTTCAAAGGTGGATAAATAAAGAATTGTCAAAGAAAATCATTGCTTAGTGGAAAGATTGCTACTGAAAAGGCTGTTTATAAAAAGTGTATGAGAAAAGGAAAAAATATTGATCGGATCATCAGAAGGTCCAGCTTTTAAAACGGGTCATTTATTACTTTTCCTAGTTAAATGGTACATTTTATTCTACGACTGATTTCTAATGAATCTACTGTCGATTACGCTCAATTCAAACAACAACAAATTTTACCATCTAGCTAATCGAGTTGACCAAAATATCAATTTTATAAGTGAGTAACGATAAAGAGCAAAAGAAACGGCAGGCTATGACAGTTAGTGGGACTTTCAGGTGCTCTAACAGAAAAATGAAAAAGTTCGGGAACCGCACGGGTTTTATCGTTTTGCAGGCAACAAAAAAGCATGATAGTCAGCTTCGAGACAAAGTATTCAGCTTAGGCTTAGGCTTAGGCTTAGGCCTGGGTCATCCAGCCGGCCAAATCCAGGTCCTACAGAGAAACGATTAACAACCTTTGAAAGGCAAGGTGGATTGCATTTGTAAACGCACCCCTTCTAAAGCATTGAAGTCTTTCTTTTTGAGAAAAAGTTGAAGAAATGAGTGAGAAAGAGTAGAAACTAATCTAAATTGGCTTAAAAAAACCCTCATAAAGCTTCTTTCACCTGTCGAGAAAGCAACGTCGTGGTGTAGTTGATAAGACGCTCGTATACGAAACAAGCAGCGGCCTTTTTGCTAAGGTTCGACTCTTTTTTTTGAAAAAGTTTTGATTTGATGTTTTCTATAAAATTTCATAGTTGATTCTATAAAATGACTTCAAAACAGTTCAATTGCTCAAAAATCTTGTCTCTGACAGAAATGTTGCAAAAGCCTCGTATAACCTAGAATGCATTTTATTTTTATAAAAAGCGGGCGTTTGCCAGTGCACAAAATATGGAGCAGAAGAGGCAGAGAGTCACCAGGACATTTTTTGAAAACTAACAAGTTTAGGGCTTAAAAAGTATCAATTACATTCCAGGATAAACAAAAATCAAAGAAAGCGGTGTGCCAGAAAGCATTGTCGGAGAGCAAAGATGTGATCAGCATAACTGGCTAATACCAAATTTTATACAATGTTCTAGATCTAACAAGAGAAAGGCAAGAGTAGGCAAGAGATGTGGCCAAATGAGATAAGCCATAGATCATTTGACGCAGAAATTCACGCTGATTCCGAATCTGCTTTACGTTTTTGCAAAATAGCTTTCCATAAAAAGTTATACGTGTTTTGTTTTAGAGCGGAAATGCAAAAATTTGAAGCCGAATAAGGGTTTTCTCACGGATCTCAAACACGACTGAGGGTATATCAGATAGAACACTTGCATACGAAACGAGCCCTGCTTTTTTTGTTTGAGTTTAATTCCTCCGATTGTCACAACATTGAGTGAAGAACCGGTGGTATAATTTTTAACATTTTAAATAGTTTTAAGGCCAGATAAAATTCAGGTGTTAAGACATCAAAATGCAAAACAAAAAATTTAGCCAAAAGGGAATCGAACTCGAGGAAAAAAGTAGGGCTCGTTTCGTATGCAAGCGTTCTATTCACTATAACATCAGTTACGTTTGAGATCCGTGAGAGAACCCCTATAAAGGCATTCCTATTCGGCTTCAAATTCTCGCTTTTTCACTCTAAAACAAAACACGTATAACTTTTTATAGAAAGCTATTTTATAAAAACGTAAAGCAGATTCGGAACCAGCGTGAAATTCTGTGTTGAATGATCTATGGTTTATCTTATTTGGTCACACCCTATTGCTGTCTTTCCCTTTCCCATCCCTTCAAATGTTTTGGCATAAAGACTTACATATTTTGGAGTAACTCCCTAATTTACCTTCAGGCTATAGGTTAGCCAGAAGTCAGGTCTAGATCTGATTGTGGTGAGCTCAAGAACTATTTTGGATCAAGCCTGCTGTAAAGTAAGGCCAGGATTAGACGGGTCCTCTGGAGAAAAATGGCTAGGCTGGGCCAGTCCTGGCTTCGGGCCTCATCTTTGCTTAGTTGAGTGGCTTAGTTGAGTCTTGTTTGAATTTGGTATTTCGGATTAGGTTTTTAGGCTGAAACAAAAGCTAACTTTCTCTATCTTTATTTTTCAGTTCCTCGCCACTCTGATGGAGTTCTACTTGCACGGTGCTCTTCCCGAGTTTTTCTTCCCCGCTCTGGCAGGTGTTTCCTGGGGATTTTTCTCGTTTTTAGGCTGTCAGGCGCTGTTTGTGAGTGTTCCTACAAATTTACCCAAACAATCATTAAAAACATCCAATTCATAGCTGTGAACTTGAAAATGAAAAGTTAAAAACATATTTTTCAGGCAATCGGTGGTTTAATCGTTGTTTCAATGATCCTTTCAACATTTCAATGTATCGCTTACAGACATTGGTTACTTCTTGAAGCGAATTCTGCATTAAAGTAAAGATGAAAGAAGTAAAGCACTTAGCTAAGTAGTTAAGTCATTCATTACTCCAATTTCTCTATGATACAAGGCTGATTTTAGAGTAACTTCCAAGAATTTCATGCTAATCTCCATTGCGCACTATATCTTTTTCGACGTCTTGGCTCTTTTTGGGATTTTAGCAATGCCGATTGAAACAGGACCGAATCAACCATTTTTGATGGGGATTATTGAGGTGTTTCTTGCATAAAATCTCATATAACATTTGCTTTGTACTTTGTTTTATCTCAGGAAATGTTGAAGAGTTCTGCGACTTGTGCAAAGACTTGAGCAAAGGCTTTAGCATTTAGCTAAGTAGTTAAGTCATTCATCACTCCAATTTCTCTATGATACAAGGCTCAGCCAGTGACCCTTAAATTAAGGTGGTTAATGAAAACTGGATTTTAATACGGTACGGTAGTTTTCTAGCATCATTATCTTTTGGAAAACTTGCTTGATAGCTTTGATCAACATTTCCAGAAGTCTCCAACTTTCGCCTATTTGAACTTATTTCCGGGTATTTGTGCCGCAGGAACATTACCTCTCTGTCCGCCTTACTTCAATTTTTCTTCAGTGTTCATCGTTTTTCCTGTCATTGTTTGCTTTATTTGTTGTCTTTTACCAATGGTGAGTTTGGTTTTAGACTCAGCTACCGTGTCCTAGTTACCCAGTAGCTAAGCTGTCAACTTTTATCGTAAGCTTGAAACACAAAGCTAGTATAGAGGATAGAGATTAGAGATTATAGTAAAAATTATGGTATAAAAATTTAGATCGGAGGTCAGGCATGCTTTAGAGCTCAATAAGTCCATAAAGTTTTTGCCAAACTATTGTACACATAAGTACATAATAAGCTTTTAGAAAGTTGTTGCTTTTATGATACAGTTCAAATCAAGACCAATATTCTGTAATGTAAATTTATAAAATCCTCTTTTTTCTATTATTTAAACACATTCATTGCATTGACTAGAGAAATAGGAGCATTTGGGGGTAACGAAATTATTCTCGATTGCCCCATCCGCCCAGATGGGGATGGATGTGGATGAGAGAAGGGAAAATGAGTAGAGAAGAATTGACTAAAAGGGGGAAATCCCTCACTTGTTCATCCAAATTACCGCATTCTATCTATTATTAGTACATATAGATACAAAAATTCCTCATTGTTGTACAGTTTGATTGCATTTTCGAGACAAGACAGATCGATTTCTTTTTTCTGACAATTCCGTTTTCTGTTCGATTTCTGAAAAGAAGCTCTGCTTTACGCCTAGAAGCAATTATTTTCAAAAATCTGCTCAAATCCGCTTGAAAGAGAATTTTTGCCGCAAGTAAACACGAATTTTTTACGCTCACAACCGGTAAATAGGCGCTATCGAAATTTACAAAAAAGAGAAGTGAATCGATGAAAGAAAATTGCGGGATGGCGGTGAGAGAAAAACTAACATAGGAAATGAAATGACAGAAATACTCTCTCAAAAAAGAGAGATGGCAAAAAGAAAAACTTTCATTCATTCAATTCTCCGATTGTTTGTCTCTTCTTTTCCCCATTTTTCCCTTCTCATTTCACTCATTTCACTCTCACCTGTATCTGCGCCGAATACTCACTTTTTTGTGTTAGTGCCTAAAAATTCTGAAACTGTGTTACTTTTTACTCCCTTTTTCTCAAAAAACTTATTGATCAATAGGGAATTCGAAGACAAAAGCGAAAGCGAAAACAGACCCGGAAAATGACCCGGAAAATATTATGGGTCTTGGACGATGTAGGTTGAGCCAGTTGAGCAACTGAGTGATTGAACAACTTTTATGAATGAGTTGAAAAAGGTTTTCTTAAAGTTTTAATACTTTTAAGACTCTTTTGCTAGGGATTATTTCAGTTTTTTATTTTATTTATGCCGACTTAACGATCATTTTGATCAAAAGTCGATCATTTTTCCTTTGTAAACTTAAAAAATACAAAAAATCGAATCACCGCAATTTGATTAAACATTTAAATTTCAGTCCAACGGCTCCAGCGACGAGAGTCCGAGTGACAGCTGAGAACTCGTCAGAACCACGACCAATCGCCCCACCAACAGAAGTTGAAGAAGAGGGAAGAAGGGCAACAAGTCCGCCATTGAGGAGTTACAAGTTCGTTATCACTAAAATCTAATTACATTTCAATCTGTTTGTGTTTTGAAAATTTATTGTAAGCGCAGATGCCTAACCATCTGGAAACCTCATACAATACTTACACCAAAATGGTTTCATTTAAAAATTCAATTTCTTAGCTGTGTTCTAAAAGACCAATTCTCGTAAGTTCGAAATGATTGGCTTGTGTCTTACCGGTCAAATGAGCTTCGTGAAAGATTAGATATTGTAGATTAATAGTTCGTGAAAAAGTGTTGAATTTTAGAATGGAAGAGCACGAGAATCCCTTCAAACCACAAGATATTCTTTATCATGAGGTGAGTGAGATTAAAGTTTTTTGATAAAAGTATCCGCCAGAAAGAGTGTGTTTGCTAGAGGATAGGATTTTGCCGGATGGACACTATAGTCCTGAATTCAAGTCATTTTGTTAAATGCATGTCAAGAGTGTGTTCCTCGTGATTAATGCGCTTTCTAAAGCGTGCGCCTCAAAAAGGCTATCGTCGTTATGTAAATTTGTTCATATGTTACTTTAATTTAAACTTTTCATTCATCATTTGCAGGTGTTTTCCTTAGTAGTGCGAAGTATTCACATCTTTTCCAACATTCTTGCTAAATATTTTTTCGGATTTAGATTTAGATCCGAGAAAATCCGCGGAATAAACTATTTACGGTCAGTATAATGGTAGATCTTAATTAAAATAAAATAATCGCAGCTGTTTTTGGACCAGAAGTTCTAAAAAATATAAAATGAAAGTTATTCAATTGAAAAGAAAGAGTAAAAGAAAAAAATCATAGAGAAAGCAAATTAATAGTAAGAAGCGTTGAGAAAAGCCTAAAGAAAAACGCTAACTTCTTATATAGGGTCAGCCATTCACACGCAAAAGATATTCGCCCATTTACTTTGCATATGCACCAATTTGTTGAATTGACACATTAATTGATCTTTAATTAAAGATTTGTCTGTGCAAATTTATTCAATTGATTATTTAATCACGAGGAACACACTTTAATGTCAAGTGTATATGTCGTGGTCAATTAAGATTGAGCTGAAAATCTTAATGTGCTACGATATATGCATATAAATAGAATTTTAGGTGGATCCGATAGTTGAACAATATCTCCATAAACCTTTTCCACCATCGCACTCTGGATCGGGAAACAATACTCCCGTCAAGCACAGCAGCAATGGTCACCACAGGTACAAAAATTTTCATACAAAAGAGGGACAATCGGGTCATCATAGAGAACGTTCAATCCAGACAGAAAGAGCTTTTTGCCTAACAGTTTTTTTTGAATCCCTAACCGTGAACTCTCTAAATTTTGCCAATCTTTGCACCGTCAGGAAATTCTCTATTACTCGAACTGATCATAAATGAAAATCGGGTTAGATCAGATTTAATCTTGATATGCAAACCGGATGCTCCACGCTATTTATTTCAATCAGTAAGCATTTCCCTCCCAGTTTCAGCCCCGAGGAATTGGAGGGGCGATTGCACGAGAGTGCACGTCCGATCACTCCTCCATCAATCAGGTATCGAAATACTGAAAAGCAGTCACAGTGATAATATAGTTGTTTGATAGATTTGTATTGTCTTGTGGATTTTTGGGTTTCCTTTCTTGCTACCTTTTTTGGATCTTGAAGCATGTTCGAGGCAAAACCTAATGCCTAGCGTTTTTTGATCGCCGAAATGAAATTGAGACAATTAAATGTTATTCAGAGAATCGCCCGCCTACTATCAAAATGGTTTAACGAGAGCTGATATCGTGGCTGAAAAACAACACAAAGAATCTGCCTCACAACCACTTATTGATACACCGGGAAGAAGATCCGAGGGCAGAGGAGGACATGCTAGGTGAGTTAAATAAAAACTCATTATCAGGCGACATTTGGGTATTAACACCAACAACAACAACTAGTCATTGACTATTCTATTTGCCCTTTTTCTACTTTACGGGTACTATAATCTTTGAATATCATAAGAAATTTCAGTGGTAAGCAACAAGCCGACAGCGAACTTCCACCAGCCGGTCAAGTTGAGATGGTTCACATCAAAAAGAAGAAATGTGGTTGTTGTTCTCTACAATGATTCAATTTATATATCCCTCTTTTTACCCAATTTTCGATTCTTTCATCGATCGCCGCCAGCTAAACATTTACACAGCCACTCAAAATAATCCCCAAATTTTTCATTTCTGTCCTAAATCTTGCTAAACGGTTACCTAGTGAGGCGAAAGAGTAATTTTTTTTAGTTTTCTGAATAGAATCCTTTAAGAGCTTTTAATAGTTCAAATGTATGTGGGGAAACTATCTAGATGCTGAGGTTCAAAAAACCTAAATTGACTTATTTGTTGACCTGTATAGTTTCCCCAGACCATTTCATTCATAATTTCTTACTCAACTTGCATCGACCACATGAGAAACGCTTTCTTTTTTCCGATGTTCGTTTCTTTTTGCTTCTCCAATCTAATCCCATCAAATCTAATCATAAACCCCTAAAAGCAAGTGCAAAAGTTCCCTCAAATTTTTCCATTTAAAATTGTTGCAAAATATTCCCTTTACCGTGCATATTACCGGTGTGGTCGAAAAGCCCCGAATTCTCATTGAAATTGATTTTATCCTAACTAAAAGAACAAATTTTTCATTAACATTTTATTTCATTCGCTAATATTTTTTAAAACATTGCTCCATGTCTCTATTTTCCTTCTTTTCTTCGAAAATTTTTACTTTTTGCTCGACGACATTTGCTTGTTGGAAAACATTTTCTTGGATTGCAATTTTTTTGTTTTTGGCCCTATTCAGTGTTCAAAGAGATAGCTAAGTCTTTAAAATGCTTCTATTCGAGGATAAATGTGATATGATTTGCTTTTATCGTAAAAAGACATTTGAGTCTGTAGAATATCAGCAACAACAAAATTTATCTACGTTTCTCACTTTAAAAATATACATTTATCAACTTGATCAAACAGCATACCCGTTAAAGTACCAAAAAAAGCAAAACACCCAGCTAGTTTTTCATTCGACTTTGATGTCCGAAGCTTGATTTTGAAGTGCTGGCAATGGTTGAGACGGTAGAGGCAATCTTACTTTCTCTCGTCCAATAAAGAACCATGGCCAAACCTGAAAATTTAGTTATAAAATATACTGCCTAATACCTAATAATGTAAATCTAATTTTTATAAAATAAAATGGATCACGCCCGTTTTCTTATAAAATATTACGAACTCCACATTTTTCGCCGTCAAATCCCTGAGATTCGCGTCCACCCCAACAATAACTTCCAAGTTTTGATGAACATTTAGGACAAAGAATCTAGAGAAATTTTAATATTAATCACAATAAGAAAAATAAAACCAACTTTTCCTTCATATTGGCCCAGCTCCATCCAATTCAACCAATCCAACAATTGCAAACCTAAAACGTGTAAATCAGTCGATAAAATTTAATTGGCAGTTTTCAGAAATTTATTACTATAATGGTATTTTTAACATTAAACACAAAGCTTGAACCAGAACTCGCAAACCTTTTCCGCTCTATTCATATGTTGTTGTATGTGGCAGTCGTAAAAAAGATCCGTTCGACAAGCAATACAACGATAACGAGCAAGTTCTTTTGAACCTGACTAAATCAGGAAAAATATAAAGCATACATTAAAAAAATGTGCCCACCTTCAGTGTTTGAATAAATAATGATGTTTTTGCCTCTTCTTCAGTTGTCGGGTGATTTCCACTTTCAAGTAACCAAGAGCTAAAGCAAGCTTTTTGATTGGAACCTAGTAATTAATTGTGCTAGTAATTCATAAACGCCTAGTAACTGTAAGATTTGAGATAATCAAAGCCAACATAGCTCACCGGTAAATTTGAGAATTGCTAAGTGTATCCAAGCAAGCACTCCAAGAAAGTTGCTCGAAGATTTGAAGCTGTTTCACAAAACCTAAGAATTTCAACATATACAAAAAAACAAGTTTAAAGTATTAACCTTCGTTGGGACAAACAAAGAAACGAGCCGATTTCACATAGTCCAGTCCTTTTTTCATTGACAAAGATTTGCTAAATTATAATTCAAGCAAAGTAATAATCTCCGATCACCAAAAATCCATTAAGAAATTTGAGATTTGAGATTTTTTGAGCGGAGGGGGGAATGACATTACTCAAAATTAGCGACAAATTGGGTTCACCAAGAAAAACTCGAGGCAATTTTCGTTCTAGAACCAAAATATAGTATAAACAAGGTAATAACAATCGAAAATATGAAAAATCCTAGAATCGGACAAATTTCATTAGATCAACCCACTTCCGAAATGCCAAATTCTGAGTGGGAGGTGAATGGGAAAACAAAATTCGAACGAATTCGGAAATTGTTCATTCTCACGAAGTACAGCAAAACTGTTCTAAAATTTCAAATTTCAAAACTTCATCGGCTCTAATGCACAACGGCACTACCACTTTGACTCCACCACCAATTTAGGTGTCTCCAGCTTGTTTGGTAATGGAACAATGCTATCCGACATTGAGCACAGTTGTTGAGATGATCAATGTTATGGTAATCTTTATTGTTAGTCTTTTGCTCGGCGATACTTTAACAGCGATCAAACTATAATAAGTGGCAGCTCTTTCTTGTAAAATCTTCTATCAAACTTATGGATCTCTTCTCAGACAACCTCATGGCTCCATCCCCAGTGCCTACCCATATTCACCTCAATGCTCGCTTCAGACATTATTTGCGTTTACAATTTCACGGTCCTCATCTGCTACACAACTCTGTTAATCTTTATTCTAACAATGCGAAAGCTCAACTTTAACTTCCGAGTGTGCATCGGCTTATTGTATCTATCGGACTCGATCACGTTCATCATGTCGGCAAGAGGTAAATTCGAAAAAGATATCTAAACTTGAAATAGAGCTTGATTGGATTATCCTTAAGTTGGTTCATGACTCGTGACTTTGTAGAAGCTGTGATCACTGGTTGTGCATTGGATCTACGCGTTGATTTGAATCTCGTTTGGCAGGGAGCCGGTGGTGGGGTGCAAGACTTGTTGATATCGACAAATCTTCTCATGGCTTATTTGCGCTTTCACGAAGCGACACATATAGGAAGTGAGGTGAGAAATCCTTTCGTACTTACAGTTTTCCTAACAGAGTGTCCAGGAAATTGTTTACCTACCAATAGTTGCTCTATACCGTGCTCCAGTTACCGTAGCCGATCAAAACGTGGTTAAATTGGGTGATGAGCTACGGTAGGTAAGGCAACTAACATCTCATCTTTCTAAGTTTTCAATGAAAACTGTTGGATTCAGAATTTCATGATCATTACAGACAAATCAATGGATTCCAAGTGTCGGCGCGGTTCTCTCGATTCTCATTTGCATAACCACATTCTTTTTGCATGTCACCGGCAATATCACCTATTTGTGGTACGATCCAGATGGGACCTATGAGGAGAGATATCTTTGGCCATTTCAGGTTCAAAATATGAATTACATTGATGACTAAAATTTTGAGTACATCCGAATCGTTTACCTGGTGGTGGGGATTTTCACGGCCACCGTTTTTTACATCGCGTGCGCGTATCGAATCGTGACGGTTTGTTTTGGAAAAGATATATCACTCATATTTTGTAGAGATTTCTGAATAATTTTGGAATCTCTTCCAAAAGTCCTGCAATTATTTCACAAACCAGTGTATGAAGTTAGAACAAATCATAAGGTGGAAGTTTACAAACTATTCTTGAAAGCTTATTTCATAATCTTCTGAATGTCGGCATTTTTGGCACTGTTCTATTCAAGAGATCAACAAATAGAGGCAAATAACAAAAAAAAACGGTTATTTGACTTTGAAATAGTCAAAGATTCGATCAAGGATCAATAGATCAAATAAATGGACAAAACGACTTGCCAATAAAAACGGTTCACTGTGTGAAATGTAAGTAAAGGAAGGTTCTCCCTAGAACTTGATGCCTCACTTGAAACAATTCCGTCAAGACTGACTTACTTGAGTAATTAAACCGACCCAAAAGTCTTTTTTGCTGGAAATCCCAGGCTTCTTAATTTTATCTGTTTCAGTTATCATCAAACTTCGCGCATCGCGAGAAATTCATCCTTTTCACATCAGCTTCCGTTTTCGTCACCCAACTGGTCTTCACCTATGCCACTTTTTGGATGGGCTGCAAGTTTGGGTACGGTTTTGAGTTGAAAACAAAAATAACAAACATTTATCTGGTTAACTAGATATTAGATGACTCTTTTAAATTTTATCCATTACCCAAGTTACCCGTTTTCAGAATTGGAGATGTTCTATTCAACGCAAATTTGAGTTATTTCGGTCGTCCACTTTGCTCATCTGTTGCTTTAAGAAGGTTCTGTTCTGACTCATTTAACTATTAGGTTGATGCAAAAGTCTTTTTCATTTTTTTCGTACTTCTGTTAAAAAGTAACAAATTCACCAATTAATCTATAGTTTGCTCTATAAAAAAAGTGTTTTTTTGTTCAATTTCCATCTTTTTAAATCAATTTCGGTTCACTTTCAGGCAAATTCGAGAGTGAAAAACGCCTTTTCTATAAAAAATCTATAAAAAACTCTACGGAAAAATTGGCTGAATGAATTTCTCTGAAATTTTGGCGAAATATCAAACTTTTTTTTCTCTATCTTTTATCTATTGACACGAAGATAGGTTTTCTTTAGCTAAGGTGTCTAAACCGCATCATCAAGTTAGCCCTTTTTGACTACCCGACTTCATACTCTCAAGAAAATCCAGGCATAAAATTTTTTAAACCCGTTTTAATGTTATTTTGCAGAAAAATAATTGGTTTTTCTAATGAAATCAACCGTAGTTCAATTGGTGCATTTGTTACTTTTTAACAGAAGTACGAAAAAAACGAAAAGACTTATGCATCAACCTAATAATACGAAAAGGTGAACTAGATAGGCTAGTCAAATGACTTGGGCCATAGACCTATCAACGCAGAATTTCACGCTGAATCCGAATCTGCTTTCCGTTTCTGCTAAATAGCACTCTGTCAAAAGTTATGAGTATCCAAAGTTTTGTATGGGATTTTAAAAAACATCCCTTGAGTTTATAAGCAGATTTTTCGGAGACTTTAGAGTGGTGGCCGAGTGACAGCCGACTAGAACGTGGGGTAGACCCCCTGGAAGCCAAAAGATCCAAAAAACATTTCGCAATTCTTTGTAGAGAAGATGAAGAAGAAATAGCGTGTCTTGAGTGAAGAGTACCAAGCGCGCACATAATATTTCTTTACACACAGGCCGGTCCTTACCAAAAGAACCACGAAAAGAACACTGTCCAAAAATTAAAGCTTGAAATGTCCGAAATTGCCGGATACAAAGCCAAGTTTGGCATGCTTATGACAAAAGCTTTAGGGAACTGTTATTTTAACGACAATAACGTTAATTATGAAAGATCTAACCAGCTCTTTCATAATTTTAGGTTCTGAATGCTTACCTGAAAATGGCCATAGCATTAAGCAAGCACTGTTGTTTTCTGATAGTGAAAAATTCACATTCAAACCAAAAGACCTAAACACCTATGTGAAACATTTTACGATTTTAAATTTACGGTTTACCGTATGCTTTTCTTCTTAGAAAACGTCAGAAATATCATGATCACCAGGCTGGCCACATCGAGAATCGATGTGATAGTACTCAGAGACAACTCTGAGTACTACTGGAGTACAAAACTCACTTGTTTATCCGTTTGATTGCACATACTGTACCACTTTCCACCAAGAAATTTGAGCTCAAAATTGGATTGCCAATGGTGAAGGGGCCGGTGGGTGTATCAAATGCCCCACAATCTGTCGGTGTAGCTCATTGGTAGAGCAAACTTTTTTTTCTCTATCTTTTATCTATTGACACGAAGATAGGTTTTCTTTAGCTAAGGTGTCTAAACCTCATCATCGAGTTAGCCCTTTTCGACTACCCGACTTCATACTCTCAAGAAAATCCAGGCATAAAATATTTTTAAACCCGTTTTAATGTTATTTTGCAGAAAAATAATTGGTTTTTCTAATGAAATCAACCGTAGTTTAATTGGTGCATTTGTTGGCTTGAAACGGCAGACGAAAAAAATGAAAAAGACTTTTGCATCAACCTAATATTTAGATCATCGGTCGTTTATCCGAGAATATCCTTCTCGCTTTCCTGCTTTTGTTGGCCCTTTTAGCAGCAATCGGTTTAATCGCTTTCTTTGGTGTCACAATATACAGAAAGGTGAGTTTTTTTTGATTATCTTATAGCTTAAATCAAGAATAAATCTAAAATCGAATGATTCAGAGAGTCTTGTTGCACAAGAAAAACGAGGCAGCTGATGGATCGGTGGCTTTCCACGGGAATGTGATCTCGTTCAGCAATCCAGTTCTCGACAAGAATGTGAGGCATTTCGACTAAGTTATATGGCTTCTCATTCAAGAATTATTGAACTCAAGAATTCTAGGGCTTCTGGAGCTTCTAGAACAACTTCTAGCACTTCAAGAACAACTTCGAGAGCTTCTAGCACTTCAAGAACAACCCCTAAAAATTCTAGAATTTCAAGAACAACTTCTAGCACTTCAAGAACAACTACTAGAAAGTCTAGCACTTCAAGAACAACTTCTAGAGCTTCAAAACTCAGAACTTCAAAACTTCAGAACTAGTACTTTAGATATAGAATTCAAGAGGTTCTAGACCTAGAGGCAATCATAACGATCACCTAAAACATAAATGCAGCTAAAGCTACTGTGATTGAGTCCCATGAACCAACTGTGTGCCATTGACTACCAAAAGGAGCTTTTCAATTTGCAGATTAACCGATCATCGATCAAATCTCGAGCGAAGCAATCTCGACATTGAAACACACAGCACAAACTCCGAAACACCAAAGCCAGGCAGTGAAGTGATCGGTAAAGAAACGAAAAAGATTGCTTTTGATCGTTAAAACCCAAAATTTCAGCCGCAGGAGCCGATTTGAGTATATCGATACCAAATGAGAGTGCACTAGGTCAATCGTCTGGTGGCCGACCCGCACTTCCACCAAGGCCAAAAAAAGACAAGGTGAGTCAAGGCGTTATTTTGCAAAAAGAAACGCTCATTATCGAATCAACAAAGTAGTTTAGCTATAGCAAGCGAGTTAGTGTCAACTCGAAACTGCAATCGATAACGATAATCACTTTCAATTTTGAACTGAACTTCAAAGGATACTGTAATCGATATTTCCTAAGAAACGGATAGGCTACCGTACGCCAAAAGTATTGTTGATTACTTTAGATAGCAAAGCGTTTGTTCTAAACAGAAACTTCAATCCGATAACCATAAACACTTCCCATTTTGAATTAAACTTTACAGCATGTAGTAATCGATACTTTCTAAGAAAAGGATAAGTTACCGCACGCCAAAGCACTGTAAACAATTGTAGACTATTGTAGACTATTGTAGACTACTGTAGACTACTGTAGACTATTGTGCTAAAACGACAATTCAATCCGATAACAAAAAAAACACTTTCAATCTTGAACTAAACTCATACGATACTTTAAGCAAATACGGAATCGAATAAAACCCAGACAACTTACAGTATCGAACAAAAACAAGAGAACTTACGGCATCGCATAAAACCCAGACAACTTACGGTATTTCAGAACTCAAAGAAAAAAGAAGAAATGTCATTCGAAAACCCGTTAGCAATGGAGAAAATCGATCTAAACGACGAGGGCGAGGTGGCAGACGTTTAGCCGACTATCGGAACATTAATTATCACTAAAAAAAAGCCAAAAAAAATAAAAATCAATTCTGGTGCTCAATAATCTATTATCGACATATCTCTAAGTCCCCTCAAAAGTTGCGCTGTAAATTCTTCCTAATGCTCAACATATTTCTCGAGTAAAGAGTTGTTTTTGATAGAAAATTCTATAAATTCTCGAGTTTCAACTCAACTCTAAATATTTTTACGATAATTTTCCTCTTTTTTTACCGTAATCTTACCCAGTGATCATTTTTTGTGATACATTTTTTGCACTTATTTATTCACCCCTATTAAGAATTGTGCCTGTTTCTTTTTTCCTCTTGCGCTAGTGCCTTCGCCGGTTAGCCAGTCATCATATCACTTTTGTGTATTTTGACGCTTAAAGTACGGTAGTTTCTACAAAAAAAATACTGTAATTAGCCTAAATATCTTAGTGCCATATAGCAAGCCAACTGCAATCACCAGGGTTTTCTAAAAATCTAGAAAAGCTACAGTATTTTTCAGACGAAAGGCTGCCGCACTTTTCAGCTCAAAAGTTACAGTATCTTTCAGACGAAAGTCTACAGTACTACAGTACTTTTGAGAAAACGGGGACAAGCTATCGCGGTCAAAAGAGTACTGTAGCTTATACCGAAGATTTAGCATCAAATAGAAATCACAAAACTCAATGACTTTCTACCAAAAGAATAGTGAAATCGGTTTTTTTCTTAAAAAATAGAAAAACTACCGTGCCATTGAAGCGTCAAAATTTTTGCGATAGGTTTTCCCCGCATCAAATTCAATTTACCCACCCTGTAAACTCCGGCGCTCAAAAGCCCCCACTTATTCGTGCCAAAACGAGTATTTTATTTTCGAAACAAACTGTGCAGAAAAGTAGCTCTTTTCTGCTTTTCTATCTTTCGGGAATATTGAAATCTTATTTGATGTTTTGATTGTCTCTGTATTCCCCTTGATCGACCAAAAGATCGTTTTGTGTGATAAAAGGGTCTGGGGCTCCACTTTGTATTGCTTTTATTCCCTGTCTTTTTGCACTGAACCAACGATTGATTTATTTATTGTATTTTCTCGCTAGACTAGTTATTTTGCCAGATTCTAAATAAAGTTTCTAAATATTCATTATCCCTTCGTCTTCTCTCAAACACTGCACAAATTTGGTGCGCAGTCCAACTACGACACCCGGTGAGACCGTGAGTACGTGGAGATCTGTGGAGCCACACGGAGTGGTGACCCAGCATCGGCCCTGCTTGCCGTGAATCACGTGAGTCAACTGGAGCAACTCGATAGACGCCCAATCAAGGAAAGGCTCAAGTCCATTTTCGAGTTATCGAGTAGTGAAGCAGAGAGTATCGCGAGAGAGAGAAAAACGACAAGAAGAAAGGGAACCGTCGAAGAGAGAGAGCCGAGTGCGAGAAAGTGTATCGACGGAAAAGAAACGAGCGAGAAAAAGCGAGAGACCACGAGCGGAAGAAAGAAAGCCGACGTCGTGTGAGAGGATCGCCTTCAAGAAAGAGAAGAAGGAATCATTTGAGAGAGACCGTGCGGAGAGAGGGATCACCGAGAGAGCGTGACCTTCATAGAGAGAGCAGAGCAGTGCAGACGGAGAGAGTCTCACTTGCTAGCGTCGCGGTCCAGACGGATAAGAGCGACAAGAGACGAGAGCGAGAGAGGGGAAGAAAGCGTCGTGAGTGGAGAGAGAGACAGCTTCTTCTTTTGTGAAAACCCCATCGGAGAGAGGGCCGCAACGTGACCGCAACGAGCCCAATAAGCCACCAAACTCGAAATGAGCTCAAATATCAGAAGCCGGTACACCAGAGCCATCAACCAATTCAAGACGTTGAATGAAGGGATCAGTGAACAAGACGATCATGTTAAAAAGCTACTTGAATCGTACTTGCCAGTAAACCTCAAAAAGAGTGTTGATTTTCTTCAAGAAAAGGTGTCGGATATCCAGGGCTATCTGCAGAAATTCAACGAAAGCGAGGACAGATGGTACGCTCTTATTGCCACGATGAATGCTGAAGACAGAACGGCTGAGTACGACGTGATGAAAAAGTACTTGGAAGCTGAGGAGGGCCCGGAAGATGCTGGAGAACACGCACACACACTCATCACTCAGTTCAAGAAATTGATCGCGTCTGGTGAACGAAAACTGGTGGAAATCGAGAACAAAAAGGCCCCAGGGACCATCTCGCCAACAGTGGTCACCCCACCGACGACCACAGTTACCACAGCGAGTGCTACAACAGCGCCAGTCCAGCATTTCAAAGTAGACAAAATTCCACTGCCAGATCTTGAGGGTAGTGCAACGTACAGACGGTTCTTTCAAGCCTTTGACCGCACCGTGCACTGCCAACCGTGGGACGACGATGTCAAGCTCACCTACTTGATGCCACATTTGAAGGGCGAAGCCGCAAAAGCCGTCGCTGGCTTTGACTTGACAAAAGAAAACTACAAGCTTGTGCGAGAGAGATTGAAAACACGTTTCGGGGATGAAACGATGCTGAAGAACGCTCTTCTCCAAAAGATTCTGAGTCTGAAGAAAGCGGGAGAGAGCTACCGAGAAACAGTTGCGTTCGTAGACGAGATGGAAGCACTGGTACAGCAAGCGGAGAGTCTCCAAATGACCGGAGAATCCGAAGCAATTCGATTGGCAGTGGAGAAATCGCTGCCGACATGGCTCGAGGCTCAAGTTTTTACAAAAAAGGTCGGCCACCCGAAGTGGGATCTGAAGGCGTTGAGAGATCTGATTGGACGAATCATGCGAGCCGGAGCCGAGAGAGATTCATTGCACTTTCAAGGGATTTCAGCCGAGAAAGTCACAACCATGCAGGTTGTTCAGAACTTCGCAAAGTCCTATGGGCAACAGCAGCAACACAAAGTGGTGGTAAACAGAAAACCTTCCAGTCTGTCCCACAAAAGGCGCCCGAAGAAAGACGCAAATTTTGCGGTTTTTGCCAAAGTCAAGACGCTCACTGGTCAACTGAGTGTCACTTATCCGGGCAAGAGCGATGGGCTAAGGCGAGAGAATTAAAGCTGTGCTACAACTGTCTGCGAGAGGGACATGGATTGAGCAAGTGCCGATCCATGGGCTATCGTTCATGCAACAAGCCACATCACACATCCTTGTGCTCAAAGGGCGATGCCAAGAAGCCACCAAGTACTCCACCGAGACAGCAACAAGCACAGATCCGACCTCAAGGTGGTGGCATGCAAAGAGTTCGACCGAACTCCTCTCGTCCCTCATCAAATGCGACCCCAGCATTGGGTCCTGAAGCGGTAGTGATTTCGGCCGATTGTCTGCGAGACGGTGAAGCGCTGGTGACCGGGGAAGTGCATCTCTTCAACCCGGACAGCCAGATCACAGGCACAACACTTGCATTCTTCGACTGTGGTGCCAACAAAACCTACATGACGAGCAAAGCAGCTGACGCTCTCAAGCTCGTGACTGGTCCACCAAAGTCGTTCCTTGTCAACACCTTTGCCGGTAGTCAAACGATGACATGCCGAAAAGCGGACATCGAACTAAGAGTGAAGAAAGGAACGAATTTCAAAACGAAGACATAATTGAAGAAGTGCCACCGGCACAGATCGAAAAGTCGCTATACGGTCGAGTGACGTATCATCCATTTCATCAACTTTCCAAGAAGGCAAGAATTGTACACAATGCGAGTGCAGCCAAGAAAGGAGAGATCTCGCTGAACGGTCGATTGTTCAAGGGACCCACGATGCTGCCTCATTTGGTGGGAATGTTGTTCAGATTCAGAGCCTGGGAATCGATTGCGTTGGGGGACATCAAAGGAGCATACCTTCAACTTGCTCTGAATCAGGCTGACAAAGATCTGCCTAGATTCGTCGTGCCACGTGACTGGAGCCAACCAATCTCGACTCGAAACATCATGTACATGAGGTTCAAGAGATTGAACTTTGGTCTCGTCTGCTCAGCTTTTTTATTGGCTGGAGCGTTAAAGCTGCTTTTCGGAGAAGACGACGAGATCGGTGAGGAGATCTTGAAAAATTGCTACGTGGACAACATCATGACCACCGGTGACAGCATTGAAGAAGCGGTTGAGAAATTGAAATATGCGAAAAAGCGACTAGCGGATGCCTCAATGGAGTTGAGAGACCTCGTATGCAACGACCATAAACAAAACGTGGAGTGGGAATTTGCTGCAGAAGTAATGAAGATGTTGGGCTTGAATTGGCGAATCTACGACGAGACTCTCGAGTTTGAGATTCCAGTGCTCGACTGGAAGAACTTGACCAAGCGGAAGTTCCTCTCATGGATCGCTTGTGTGTACGATCCGCTAGGCTTGCTAAGTCCAGTTTTCTTCGCCTTCTTGCAGACACCACAAGGAGAAATCCCCATGCGAGCATGGGCGGTGAAAGACGTGACGGTCTACGAGCGAGCACCGAAAAGAGTGAGTAAGACGGAACACTGTCCGAATGTAACGATCAGTTGCACTGACGAAGGATTCGAAATCAAGGGTGGTCCTCGGTGCGTGGACTTGATGGAAGTCTGTGCGACTGTGGGCGACAAGAGAGACTGCACTCACTACGAAGAGATATCCGAGATCATCCGCCCAATGCCACCAAAGGAATTTTTGGTACATGAACACCGAGGAGACGTCACGCTTGGCGTGATGGGATGATCACTGCACAAGACTCGATCGAGTGCCCAGCCAAGGACATCTGTGACGTGGCAAATTGCTTGGTGTGCTGGACAGTATATTTCACACCAAGATGTGCTGTCAGGCGAATCGGTGGCACGATGATTCGAGTCGTTTTGGGGGTGCTGAGCTTAGCGGGCATTGTTTTGGCAATCAAAAGATTGAGAAGATATCGACGACGACGAGCGTGGGCCACACCAAGAAATCTGATGAGAATGTCGGTCTTCCTGCTGCTCCCACGTATGGTGGGAGGGTGTGGGCAAGTCATGGCTTTCCACGCACAAAGTCGACAGTGTCATGTGCACAGGAACGGGATAGTGTCGTGCACATTTGATGAAACGACAATGATCGCCTTGCGAGGACATGAAGAGGCTTGTATTGTGTTCAGAGACCACGAGGACCGCCCCGTGACGACTTTGAAAATTTTTGCGACCCCGTAATACCGTTGTTCGCCTACTCGACGTGCCTACACGCGGAACGTCAAGCTGATCACGATCTACTCGAGAAGATGCGGTGGTATGGGAGAGTGCACGGGGACAAGATGTTCGCAAGTTGAGCCCGACACGGAGCTGGTGGAGTTCAAGGATGTGAACGACAGACCTGGCGTGACTCGACGCCAAGAAGCGTGTTCAGGACCCGGTTGTGGGTGCTTGACATTTTCCAGCGGTTGCTTCTTCTGGCGAACCTACGTTGAGCCTAGGAATGAGGACATCATTGAAGTGACCGAATGCGAATGGGAAAAAGGCCTCGAAATTGAATGGCTATTTGAAGACGGGAAGGGCGGCAAGTCCATTGTCAAGGGTGACGGAATTGAGATTGGGGCCATGACAATCGCATCGGATCGCACTCTTCTCCCCAGAACCTTTGCGAAAACGAACAAAAAGACAAGAATCTAGTCGGAAAGTGAGATCCAGGCAGCTTGATTGTTCAGCTGCCCCAACAAGGAGAATGCCATGGGACTGACGAAAGAGTGCCATCTCGACTCGAAACAAATTGATTGTCGTCAAGCGGATGATCGGATGCTATGCGAAAGTCGCGGCAACGACTTCCTGGTCGAAGAGTCGAGGGTTTTGCCGCAATTTATTGGAGAGAACCTCTATAAGGAGACGGACGGCGAGATCAAAGTGCAAGCCAAAGGTTCATCATCCATTCAAGTTAAGGTCAACGGATTGAAAGCGCAAACACAAGTAGATGTATCGGCGTGTCATTTGATGGAGAGCGAATTGACCGGCTGCTTCGCGTGCGAAGTCGGGGCCAGCTTGAAGTACCTTTGCCGATCCGAATTCGGCAAACAACTGGCGGAATTGCGATGTGGAACAGTCTCGGCGGTGCTTCAATGCGATGGGACCCATCAGAAACGAGTGACCAACATGAGGTTTCAACAAGCGGTGATCGACCAAGAATGCGAGCTGAAGTGTTCAGGTGGGACCAGGAAAGCGAAGGTCACCGGTCACCTTGTCTATGTTCCAAACTACGGAGATCGGTGGATCACTGGAGATGCGACGATGAAGGAGCGGTCAATGTGGGACGAGTTGAAGGAGTTTGCGAAGGCGGTGGTAACTGATCATCTTCCAATTCTCTTAAGTTTTGTCGCCGTCTTACTTCTTTTGCCCAAGCTTATTAAATTTGTTGTCAGATTGTTCCTTTAACTTTTTGCGTGTGGGAGTGTGCAGAAAAGTAGCTCTTTTCTGCTTTTCTATCTTTCGGGAATATTGAAATCTGGAGCTTCAAATGATCAACCCTTACCATCCGCTTCAAATGGGCATCATGCCGCCGCATTTAAACGTATTGTTTTTAAATCTTTTCTTAAAAGTGAAATAATATCTTAAAGTCTTCGGTTTAAGTCATCAAACCATAGAAAATTCTCCTGGTTTTTTTGCGTTTTTCATAAACAAACGCTGTCTTTAGAAATTGATTCTTCCGAGCTACTCAATTAGCGCTCAAATTTTGCTATGATTTGTTATTTAAACCGAAAAAGTACATCATAGAAAATTCTCTAAACCCTAACCGCCGACAAAAAAACTAAAGCATGTGTGCATATGCGTGATTTTCTTTTGCACTAGATCCACTAGCGTACAAAACGGTGACAAGCTAAATGGGCTAACTCTTCTAAACTTTGAAAGCAATTTTTCTCGTTGTAAACAAAATCATTGCAAAAAAGCTAACTTTTTAGTGTTCCGTTTGCGAATTTTCTTACATTTGATCTTACACAAAGTTGCCTGACTAACGAAATAGGGTTTTGGTTGGTGATTACCGAAAGATTTTTGGAGAAATTGACTTCCAACGCCTAGTTGAAGATCCTAAAGGCGTATCTTTTCTTTGTCGTTTTAGCAGTTTTCTTGCCTATTTTCCGAAAGCAAAAATATTTCCATTTCATGGTCTCTTTAGTGTTGAAATTGCAATCGTTGATAGCTTTTCGCGACACCCTCAAGGGTTACATATTGGCTTTTGAATAGGTTTTCATTTCTTGGCCAATATTGACTTTCATTTATCTATGCTCGATAGATTTTCACATGTTCTATGCTTGAAAGTGGTCTCTGAATGTTCGAAAGGTACCTCATAACGACTTTTTATTAGTTGGCTGATCCGAATCGACGGCTCTTGTTTAGAAATCTTCTTGCACGATAGCTACTCGAAAGATTTGAGTGTTTTTTTTCTTTCAGAAAAGGCGCAAAATTAGTGTCTGTGGGTGATAAACATCTTGAAAACAGTACAAAACACTGAAACCTAGACAAATCAACTTGACAAATCCAGCATATATTCCAGACAAACAAAACGAAAAAATGACTATTTTAAACAGGTAGTGCTTTAAAATGGGGTCTGGTACGTAAAATATGCTGGATTTGTCAAGTTGATTTGTCTAGCTGTCAGTGTTTTGTACTGTTTTCAAGTTGTTTATAGCATATCGTGCCAAATTTCACCCAATAATGTAAAAATAGACTGGGGTTTTCGTTAAAGTTCCACATGATTTTATGCGTAATTTTTCGGCACTAGACCCGTGCAATGGATCAATTTTAGCATTTCAACAAAACTTTTATTGGATTTCACGCTTTAGAAAACAAGCATTTACTACTAAAATGCTGAAAGTGATCGATTGCATTGATTTGCTCTTTGCAAAGACTAATTCTTTTTATTTACAGGTAGAAAGATGCCAATCAAGATGCCATTCACAATGCCATTCAAGATGCAAAATCTTACAACATTTCCAATCGACCGTCTTTCCTTCGATCTGAAGTTGGAGGTTTTGGAACAATTGGAGGCAACCCTTGTGAATAAATTGGTGAAAGTCAATCAAGGATTCCAACGAATGATTTCGGATCGGCCATCGCTCGTTTTGGGACATCACGTGTGGAAGATTGTATTTAGGTTTAATTCAGACGAAATCAAAAAAATCTCCTTCAAGAAGCTGTTTCATCGTTCACCTGAGATCCGTCTGGAGGTCATTCGTCATTTCCCTTTCATTAAAAACATACGGTCGTGTTACGAATTGCACTTATACAACGACAACGGATTCAAAGATGCTTACGTCGCTTTTCTGAAACAATTAGAGGCAGTGAATCCTTGTGGTTATTTAGATGCGCGCCTCAGGACCTGGAGTTGTTTTTTCACTTGTCAATCAAGGAATTCGTGATGTTTGGCATCAAACCTCCTCAATCAACAGAAGAAGCTCGATCAACAAAAGATCTTGTTAAGCATTTCATTGAGAATCAACTCAACAAATGTGGAAAAGCCTCTTTTCATTGTGAGGATGATGATTCCTTCTACTTATACTATAATGCTTCGATAAAGACCCACATCAAACATGTTGCATTTCTTCCTCTCGAAATCATGTCTTCCCCTTCTTTTGGAAATCTCGTTTTTTCAGTCATTCAATAGATTGTCAGCCACGGAGTGCCGAGCAAAAACCCCGCAGCTGTTGTTGAAGTTGTGAACAATTCTCGTCGCGATAGAGGCTAAAATCGCTGATTTTCTCAGGGGTTATCCAGGGATCAAAGAAATCAGCGGAGAAAATCGTCATTCATTCGTTGCCGAGGCAAACGATCGTTGCAAGAAAAGCGAATTATTCACTGTGTCAATGAAAGCTTTCTTTTTCCGACGAAGTATCGATGTGACGAGAGATTGCATCTACATATTGCCCTCGAGTGGATTTTTTGCCTTTTACATCAAGCCTGATGAAAGGCTCGATCATTGATGTTTTATTGCTGTTTTACTGAAGTCACATTGTTGTAATGTAACAATATTTTAGATTTTAGAGACAATTCTTTCCTGTACGTTTATGTTTTCTGAGCCACAAGCGGCTATGTATTTACATATTGGGCTCACTTTTTTCATGCACCATGAATAAAGTATGATTATTATTGTTTGTTATTCCTGTTAAAAATAAATTTGTAAACGCAAAAATAACTTCAGCTGTTTAGAAGAAGGTAGAAACTATTGTTTAACTTGAAAATCATTTTGAACTTGAGATATTGAAATTATCGAAGACCGTTGGTGAAATTGTGAATTTGATGGCTTATTACCTGTACTTACTGTATTTGTTATAGGGACAAATTGGAGTATCAGTTCTCTCGGGAGTGGCAGTGATGGTCTTGTTAATGCCCGTCAACTTTCTTATGGCGATTTTTATGAGGAAATGGCACGTTCAACAGATGCGCTATAAAGATGAACGCACTAAAGTGGTCAACGAAATCTTGAACGAAATTAAGGTAGTTTGCACTAGCGTTTTATCAATTAAATCATTTTAGATTATCAGGCTTTATAGATGGAAGAAGTAATGAACAAATTGCGATCAAGAACAATCCGTCGATTGCTTTCGTTTCACTTGCGTGGATGCAAGATAACACCATGCGAGCCAATATCACGTTTGGAAAAAAGTTCGATGAATACTTCTACAATCGTGTGCTCGATGCCTGTACTTTTGCATACTCTTGCATATGCTTCCACCTGGTGATCAAACTGAAATTGGCGAAAAGATTTTTATATTTTTTATTCTTTTTCAGTATTTGGTAGAGCAATCTCTCTGGTGGACATAAAGTCAAGATCAGTTTTGCGCGAGCCGTTTATCCAATTCACGATGTCTACCTTTTGGGTGACCCTATGTCTGTTGTTGGTTTTTTTTTCATTTCAGCTTATTGAAAATTTTTAGGTTGATGCTCATATTGGACGAGAACTATTCCCCGCCGTTATTGGCCCAGATGGAATGCTACGAAATAAAACAAGAATTCTCATTACCAACGAGCCCATTCTAGCGAATTGTAGAATTGTAACGTTTGAGTAGTTGCAACCCGGAATTTCATCGCTTTTTCTTCGATGAGGTACTAATCTATGTTTTCGATAGAATGTGCTTGAGGCATGGTTTAGTAACGTATAAAGTAATTCCACATTCACAATCAAACTAAATTTAGCAAATAAGTGGAATGCTGTGCTCTGAGGTTCGAATGTTCAATACAAGTTTTATTTCGACGCATTCAGAAGAGGTTTACGAGGTTTGTTTAGATTTTTGGACGAGCGCAGCGAAGTTGGTCTCGCTCTCGAGAAGCTGTAGGAACTTGTAATCTTCAGAAGGGCCCGAACGACGATTAAATGAGGGGTCATCTTAAAAAAAAAGCTATAGAGATGTTTACTTGAAAATAAATGAAAAACGTACGCTTTATTTCGATGTGCATAACCTTAGGTCCCATCTTCTTTTTTCCCTTTCCTTTTTTCTGCGAGGCACGTGAATTCTCCTTTTGCTGGTCGCGGTTCTTCCTCCAGGCCGTTCGAGCAAGCTCATCAGCCTTAAATTAACCAAATCAGTTAAATTAAATAGAGATTTCGCCGTAAAACTATTTTCTAAATAACAGTTGCAAAAGCAGGATAAAAGTGGCTCTTCCTAAGTACCGAAAGATCTAATAAAGTTAATCAACAGACAAAAAACCCCCGCGCATATGTGAAGTGCCAAGAGAGAACTTTAACCAAAAAACAAACAACAAAAGAAAGACAAATGAAACTCACGTTTTGTAGGCATCCGAGAGAAGTCGATTGAATAGACGACGAATGATAATTTTTGGTGAAAACGTTTTCCTTTTATTTGAACCGTTAAATGCAAATTTCGCATTTTCAGACGTTTTTCCGTCAAATATGCAAATTTCAATCATTGGATAAAAGATTTTGAATTTTGCGTTTTTTTATTTACAGCTTCTCGAGAACAAAGGCAATTTCGCTGCGCTCGTCCAAAAATCTAAACAAACCTCGTAAACCTCTTCTGAATGCGTCTTTCTGGCTCCACCTTGAAGAAGAAGAGCGCCGATAAGATCGATCGCAAGATGAACAGGAAGAAGCGGGCAAAGTCTTCAAACTTCAAGAAGAAGTTCATCATGTTCCTACAAATGCTTGCTTGTTTCTGTCAATGGAGAAACACTAGAGGTTTGTTCCCTTTTCATTTTCGTTCTTACGAGTGAAGTTTTATACATTCTTTATTTTTTTAGCTAACACGTCGAGTCGCGAGGCGGACGATCTTATGGAAAAAGAACATTTTACAACTCGAATTGGTCAAAACCTGGATCGCAAAGGCAACCGCCCCAAGCTCCCCAAAAAGCCGAGGTGATTTTTTATTTAATAGCTAAATTTATAAGATGCTATAATATCACGTGCTTGTAGGAGCAAAAGTTTTTGGGTTTCATGCAGGATTTAAAATATATGAAATCAAAAACATTTAAGTTTCCAATTTTGAAAAGTTTTGAAATCGGGTAAACATATAAAATATGATAACTAAATCTTTGCATTCAAAACTTTATTTTATTACGTTCTCTGAATCTTTGATTTTGTTTTTTTAACTTACTATTCAGCCAACGGTCGAAGTCTTTACGGACGCGAGTTGTGAGAACGACTCCTTGAAACAAGACCAAGGAACCGGACTTGGGGTATTCGTTGAGAAAATGCCCGATGATTTTCCACTCAAACTGTAAGTCTGTTTTGTTATAACATCTTAACTGTCAGCTTCTATGCTTTTTCACGCGGTAATTATAGTAGAGAACTTTACAACCGGAAATATTGGTTTGGATTTTTCCTGACTTGACAAAACTTTACAATAAATTTTTTTCAAATTTAGGTCTGTCAACATCTCAGAATGGTATAAGCAAGGGGACAACAATGTTGCAGAAACATATGCGGCCATCGTTGCGCTCAAGTATTTGTTCAACACAGGTCACGGGTAAACATTATTTATTCGTAGAATAATAAGCCTCGTCAATTTTGTGTCTAAAGATGTATTGATTACTCAGGGATAAAAAGATCGATGTGAAGACCGATTCTGGCAGTCTGATAGTCGGTTTGGGAAAGGAGAACAAAGACGAAAGGTTTGTTTTGGCATTTGTCTTCTTCAATATTTTACATTTAGCTACGAGTATCAAAGATTCGTTCGGTCCACTGCATGCTGTCAGGATGCTCGGAGAGACAATTGCGTATTTCCTTGAAGTGGCTGGCTATCCTGCAGTTCTTCGGTTGGCAGGCGAATTGTTGCATTGGGTATTGTGAGATCGATTGGGCGAGGGACTTTCCCATTTCCAAGGTTTGTCAGTGGTCGTGAGTTCACAATGGCCTCGGCTTTCGCGGTGAAAGTGATGAACTCTTCGATGTCGAGGAGACGGTTTCGGATGGTTCTTCGGAGGCTTTCTTTGATGATTCGGATCATTCGTTCATAAAGTCCTCCAGACCATGGTGACAAGACTGGGATGTGCTTCCACGTGATTCGGTCCTTCAGAGCCGATTTTTCGAACAATTCTTGATCTGCATTGCTCCAGGATTCGATGAGCGGTGAAGTGGCTCTGAAGTTAGTTCCGTTGTCGGAGATGAAGAATTTCGGGAGTCCTCGACGGGCGACAAATCTTCTCAAGGCTTGGAGAAAATCGATGGCGGAAACAGATCGAGTTGTTTCGATGTGTATTGCTCTTGATGCCATACAAACAAAGACGCATATCCACACTTTTGTCGTTTCACCGTTGTCGTTCACGAGAAATGGTCCAGCAAGATCGACACCGGCATTTTCGAAGGGTAGTGATGCTTTTATCCTTGAGGTTGGTAGTTGTGGAAGCTCAGGCAGTTTGAAAGGTACTGCACGTTCCGGCTTGCATGCTAGGCATCTTTTTACGACTTTGTTGACCAGAACTCTTCCGTGTGTAATCCAAACACTGTTTCGAAGAGTGGTCAATGTGATTGAGGTGCTGGCATGTTGCATCCTTTCGTGTACATCGGCGGCGAGTAGTGCTGTAGCTGGGTCTTTGTGGGAGAGGAAGAACGGTTTCTTCGCCTCTTCTCCGGCATTACTATTGTCGATACGTCCTTGGGATCTCCAACAACAGTTATTCTCGTCGCGAAACAAGCGAAGTGACTTTGTGTCCGTTGGAGATGGTGGATGTCTTTGTTGACTTTCTTTGATGAGCTGGATCTCGGCGAGTTGTCCAATTTCATGCCGGTGGGTAAAGTTCTTCAAGATCGATCTGATTCCTGATTCCGCACGAGTTGATGTGATTTTGATGAACCACAAAACGAATGTCATTGTGCAGATCATCTTGTTCCATGAAGAGAATCTCCTAGGGTTCAACAGTGAGCCGTCTTCCTTTTCTTGTGTTTGGATGATGCTTGTTGCTGTTGTCCCTTTTGTCGGAGTGATTTCAATAGGCTCCAGCTCGGGTCTGGGCCATTGGTCCTCTGGTTGTTGTAGGAAGCTGGGTCCATTCCACCATAGTTCATTTTTCTCGATTTTCGAAATCTCCATCCCTCTCGAAGCAATGTCGGCTGGGTTTTCGTGGGTTCGCACATAACGGAAAGTTGCTTCGATGCTTGTGATTTCGGCGAGACGATTCTTCACGAAAACGGGTTTGTCGGCCGCATCTCCTCTTATCCAGCTTCAGAGCCACTTCACCGCTCATCGAATCCTGGAGCAATGCAGATCAAGAATTGTTCGAAAAATCGGCTCTGAAGGACCGAATCACGTGGAAGCACATCCCAGTCTTGTCACCATGGTCTGGAGGACTTTATGAACGAATGATCCGAATCATCAAAGAAAGCCTCCGAAGAACCATCCGAAACCGTCTCCTCGACATCGAAGAGTTCATCACTTTCACCGCGAAAGCCGAGGCCGTTGTGAACTCACGACCACTGACAAACCTTGGAAATGGGAAAGTCCCTCGCCCAATCGATCTCACAATACCCAATGCAACAATTGCCAACTGCCAACCGAAGAACTGCAGGATAGCCAGCCACTTCAAGGAAATACGCAATTGTCTCTCCGAGTATCCTGGCAGCATGCAGTGGACCGAACGAATCTTTTCTGGGAACTCTTCACGACCGACTACCTACTGGCTTTGCGGGAAAGAGGTTTCCAAGGTCTCAAACAACACCCAAACGCCACAAAGCGTCGTCCAATTCTTGACGAAATCGTCATTGTCTACGAGCCGAATGTCGCCAAAGGTAAATGGAGAACAGGAAAGATCACCAGACTGGTCGAGAGCAATGACGGACATGTACGATCGGCTGAAGTTCAGATGTCAAATGGTCGCTCAACTATTCTTTCTATCGCTACCCTGTACCCATTGGAGATCTTGCCGGAAGAAAATGAGAACACGACGGCAAACGAGAAGCCAGAAAGTGAGGCCGAAAAACCAACTGAAAACAAAGATGTATCAAAAGGATCCCAAAGCAAAAACGGCAGTGCTCAAAAGATTGTCGAAAGCTCAAGATCAAGATACGAATTTCGGCCACGGAAAGCAATCACCTACACTACTGTGATTCTCGTTCTACAACTGATGAGCGGAGTCGCAGCGAGCGCCTGCTCAGGTATCGTGAGGTACCAAGAATACTGCACACGATTTGGGTTGGCAATCCACGAGAATAAGGGGAGGGCTTGCGCCAAGCCGGTCTCCTGCGGAATTGACCAGCACATCCGACGGCACACGGACCCAAGCTACCTCACCTCGCCTTGCACCACCCCTTGCCGATGCCCAAATTGGGCCGACGATTGTTCTCGGCTGATCAAGCACCCATCAACCCAATATCTACCCGAGCACGGAGAAAGAATTGCAAAAATGGCTCCCAACTTGTGTCGGGTCAAAAGCCAACAATGCCCAATCCAACAAACACGAAGTATTCATGGGGTGATGCTGTACAACGGAGCCATGGCATGGGTCAACGAATTGAACATCATCAGGAAGCAGATAACGGAACCAATCTGCATCGGTGAAGGTGACGTCGACGGAACCTCAACCTTCTGCGAACAATTCAAATGCACCAGGGGAGGACCGCGATTTTGTCTCTTCCCGAGACATGAACTCGCTCTCCTTCAGACTCCCAATGGAGCTGTACCCATCAAGGCTTGGGCCACCAGCAACAAACTGGTCTATGTTCAAGAAGAGAAAAACGACACGGCAGAAAAATGCCGAAGGCTATCTTTCAATTGCACAAATAGCGGCCTCGTCATCGATATCAATCCGGAATGCAACGACCTTGCTGAAATATGCGTGAACACGGGATCCAATCGACAATGTACCCATCTCGACCCTTCACAAATTTCACAAGGACCCACCGAATTCTGCACGCCCCTTAAATATCGAATCACCAACCACACTTTTGAGATCACGGCCTGGAAAAATGGAAATCTACGAGAAAAACGACTACTCCAATGCCCTCCTCTCAACATATGCGACGTCTCGAACTGCATCATCTGTTGGTCGATCTATTTCACACCACAATGCACGGTGTCCAGGGTGGGAGGCGCTCTACTCCGAGTTCTCATCGGCATCACATGGTTCTAGGCTACAATCGCTATCGTCAAGCGAGCAACCCGCCGAAAACGCCGCCAAAGAACCTACCCCACTCGACTGATGAGACTCGCTCTACTACTTCTTCTCCATTGGCCATCCCAAGTCTACAGCTGCGGCGAAACAATCACAATTCAAGCAAAAAATCACGAATGCCAAGTTTTCCACAACGGACTGACCTCATGCCGATTTGAACAGAAAACAATGTTGACACTTCGGGACCATGAGGAAGCCTGTATCATGCTCAAAGATCACACCGAAAAACCCGCTGGCACCCTGCGAATTCGTGCACAAGGCAGTTATCGGTGTTCAAGGACAGGAAATCGAGTATTCACTCGACCAGTCGAAATCCATACCGTCTCAACTCGCCGATGCCCTGGAATGGGGTCATGCAGCTCAAACGCATGTGCAACCACAACACACAACGCAAAGATCGAGGAATTCCGACAAACGAGCCACCTCCCAGGAAACTCCAGATGTCAAGACGGATGCTCCGGCTTCATCTGTGGCTGCATTTCCTTTGCACCCGCTTGCCTCTTCTCCAGATCCTTCGCTTCACCTATCGACAATACAACCATCGAAATCATCAACTGTGAATGGGTCAAATCAGCAATTGTCGAGTGGGACCTGGAAGGGAAAAAAGGGAAGTCAATTTTGGCCCCGGGAGAGACCGATAAAGACAGGACCCTCTCTATCGGAGTCATCAACATCGATGTCCACAAAGAAATCAGCCAGAAACAGTTTGCCATCATAAACCAGGAAACTGCTACGGCCCTCGACGAAGTCCAAGCAAAAGCAGCAACACTCTTCCAATGTCCAACACAAACGGACGCGATGCGGATGACAAGTCAATGCAAAATTGATGAACAACAACTTGCTTGCCGAATGGTGGATGAAAGAATCGTTGGTGGACGATTGACCGAACCGGATTGGACATCACATCGACTACCGATCTCAATACGAGGAGACCTATTCCGATTCGACGACCGCTCAAAGACGGTCACCGGACTCGCCGGAAACACAATAACGACACTGGCCATCAACATCCAAGGAATGTCTACAACCACCAGGGTGGACGTGGCCCGTTGCCAGCTCGAGGACCTAAGCATCAAGGGATGTTTCTCGTGTGACATCGGGGCCGTACTCGACTACATCTGTACAGCGGAATTCGGCCAGACGTCGGGACACCTTCTATGCGGAAACTCAACAACAACACTCATCTGTGACGGTTCTCACTCGAAAAGACAGACGACGATCAACTTCGAAGAATCGAACATCGACATGGATTGCCAACTATCCTGCCCAGGAGGAAAAACCAACACTCAACTACGGGGACGACTCTTCTACATCGAGCAAACCCGTAGCGAATGGACGGTGATGAAGCCGGAAGTGGCGGATGCCTCAGTGGGCAGCGCGTCATGGCTTCAACAACTACTCTACGAATTCATCCTCAAGGACATCTCCATGATCGTCACAATAATCGCATTGCTCTTCATCGTTCCATATGTGATTACCTTATTTTGTAAATTGTTCAGAACCTTACTTCGTTGTTGCCATCTTCCTTTCCTTTTGGCCGGGAATGTTCGGAAATTCTTCCGATAAAAATCTATTTCTCTCGTAATCCTCCTATTTTGTCTTTGAAATCTTCCCACGATTTCCCTAGCCAAAACATAGACATTTCTAAAACATTTCCCCCTCAACTTTTCGATATATACACCCTCCGGTGCTTTAATAAATAATTTTCTACCTTGAACCAAGGGATTTGGATACAGCCTATACCCAACAGGATCGATAAAGGTTTGATAATCGAGTGGGAATTTAATGCTAAAGAATTTCTGGCTTTAGCTTTGGTATCGGTACAGTAAGCCAAGTCTCAGCTAGGCTTGCATGCATCAGAATACGTTTATCATTCATCTTAACGCTGCTTTCATATTCAGTTACTTTAAGTCACAATCAGATCCATCTACAAGAGGTTACGGTTAGACTACGATAGGATACGGTTAGACTACGATAGGATCGGTTAGACTACGATAGGTTACGGTTGGATTACGATAGGATACGGTTAGACTAAGCTCTAGTCAGTTTGCGGCTGGCTACTGTAGCCTAGAGCCCGACCAGTTATTACTAGGTCAAGCTGGGGCAAGCCTTTTGACTGTCAGACTACGACAGGTGACATTTTTGCGGCTCAATCTTTAAACTTTCTGTTTTTGAACAACATCTCAAAACTTGAACTCACCGTTTCATGCAAAAAGCTCCTTGCAGTAACCAAGCCAATAGCAAACCAGCTCCAAAGTAACATTTTGTAAAGAGTCATTTCTTTTGCGAATATCGATCACTTTAAATATTCATGACAATCGCTTTTTCATCGATGTGGTAGCTATGTTAATTGAATGAATTTATAGAATAAAGTAGGGGAATTGGCTACGGTAGGGTTTTCCGTGTTTTAAGCAATAAAGGCTTTCAAATGGGAGCTTTCTAAAATTACCGTAATGAAAGTGTCTGTATAAAATTTGTAACTTTGTCAAATCATGAACTTTTCTGCATTCAATTGAGCTTTGTTTTGAGTACTTTTGGATTTAAAATGTAAATCGTGTGTTTATCTGTACGTGTTTATGTTCAGACACGAATTAAATGCAAATGTGGCCACTAATCACTTTATTACACATCAGTGGTGGGAATTCTCGTACTCGTTGCACACACGAATCGAGGCATGACGACCGGCGAGGTTGTTGTCGAAAAGGTTCTCCGTTTTGCGCTCTTTTACCTTACGGTAGTTGACCTAAAACCATTTCTTAATCACCAAAATATCATGCAGAATTTTCAAGAAAAAAGGGGAAACTGGTAAGTGTTTTGTTTCTAATACAGTCGACTCTCGATTTAACGATAACCTTGTCCCGTCCCGGCCATCGTTAATGCATTTTGTTAAGAAACAACATTCGATTTAACGATTTATAAAGCAAACGTAAAAATATTCAACCAAAAGACCGAATATCTTAAATTTTCCTGCATTTCCATTGGGGTTTTTATTTATTTTCAACCAGAGAAAGGCGATTAGAAGAAATAGAAATTTCGAAGCGAAAATTGATGTGTCGACAGCAATATTCCACGCCAAAAGGGGCAAGAATTTGCTTTTGCTTCTTCTATTGTTATCTTTTACTGTTATTGTTAATATTCTAATTAATAATTTCATTGATAAGCTCGATTTAACGATAGCGTTTGCAAAACATTGAAAATATCTAATTCGATTTAACGATAGATTTACCCCGATCCCTTGACTATCGTTAAATCGAGAGTCGACTGTATCTCTATAACTTTTTAAATGACTATAAACTTTAAAGTCATTTTGGCAAGTTTAGAAATTGATAATAAAGAAAGGAAAGAATGTCAAAGAAATTGGAACCAAGAGGAGAATTGAATCCTCGACCTTCCGCTAGAGATCCGCTGACAGATGCTCTATCACTAACGAGGGAGTGGTACTAGATCACCTATCCAAATAGCCTATTCGATACAGTTTTTTACGCTGGTTTTGAATCCGGTTTTGGTTTTTGCAAAGCGTATCGGGAACGCAAGTTATTTGGCAAACAAGTTTTAGCTATATCCATTTAAGGAATTTAAGGCATTTATGGTAGTCTTTCAACAGTGGTCGTGGTAAAATGGACAGTACTGTCTGCGAAACATTAGCGAAACACAAATCTTTTAGCGTGAGTTCGATTCCTTTAGCTGACAAAGCTTCTTTTTTTTTAAAAACAATTTTTGATTTTGGAAAATGTGAAAAAATGTGAGAAAAAGCTTTGTCAGGGAGACGAAATAGCGACGCAAATTAAATGCAAATAGGAACGTAACGGACGTATCATTTGATAAAGAAATCACAAGGCCTCAAGTGAATGATATCAAAATTGGGCTGATCGACTGAAAAACAGACGATGGGTTTACGATAGTTTTGTCTAAAATAAGGGCCTTTTAGAAAGCGTATTAGTTGAAAGAAGGAGTGCAGTGTACTCTTGGCTTTTCACCCCCCCCCCCTCCACCTTGAACTCCATGCCGTCACAATTCTCCGAGGTGAACAACATGTAACAAGCTTTCTCATTGCCCACCTAAACCGATTCCACCATTCGTGACCAGCCCTAAAACAAATGAAATGAACTGAAATTAACACGTTCATGACAAAATTTATACTCGGAACTATTCTAGCGTAGGAAGTTTGGATCTAGAATCAGAAAAAAACTCGTTTTCTATCCTCTACAAGCTATGACTTCTTTTTAAGAGTAATTTTTATCACTGGCCTCACAATGAGTCCCAAGGTGAGCTCCCAATGCTACGAATTTTCTGCTTTATCTTGCTCTTGTTTTCGAAAACCTTCGAAATAAGGCAATCTTTTCTCTTCTTCAACCCGACTTTAGCCAAAGAGAAATACACCGCGTCACGTTGTGTAAAGACGGAGCGTTGCGTTGTGGTTGAGTGAATTGGAGATGAGCCATTTCCTAGGTTATACGGCTGAAGAAATTCATTTTAGTGATGAAATTTGCACTTTTGAAATAGTTTTTTGTGATGAAATTTTCGTGATAAAGCATTTTTTGCAACAAATTTTGAGAGAAACAAGGGAAAGAGTTTTCACGACTCAAAAATGGTTTTGTATTCCTTAACACCCTCGTGACAGTGTCATTTTTTTGTGATTTGACCACTAGGACCGACTGTTTTCGATTCAGATCGAGCTAAACATTTGTAGGGTTTTCGAGGCTGAGGAATCCGAATCCAGTATTGGTTTTCGTCAAATTTCGTACAGTTGTAAATAGTTGTAAAGAGTACAAAAATGTACTCATAATCAAAAAGAACAAGATAAAGCAGAAAATTCGTAGCATTGGGAGCTCACCTTGGGACTCATTGTGAGGCCAGTGATAAAAATTACTCTTAAAAAGAAGTCATAGCTTGTAGAGGATAGAAAACGAGTTTTTTCTGATTCTAGATCCAAACTTCCTACGTTAGAATAGTTCCGAGTATAAATTTTGTCATGAACGCGACTTTGAGTAAAGCACTCTTCCATTTCTTGCAACAATCTTTGGCACAGCTTTGAGCTTGTTGAATTTACCCAACGCACCTCGGATTTTGCTAAAGCCATTGCACATTAGGATATCATCCTGATGACTAACTTTGCATAGTTGATATCACCGCGTATAAAGTACGATCCTTGATCTCGCAGCAGAGAATTTGACGGTCCAAGATGGGAAAAATGAACACCTAAAATAGTTTAGGGATTAAAAATTTTATAAGCTTTACCTCCAATCTCAGTCTAATCCCAACGAAAGAAGAGCGCCAGCTCGGCGTATTATAAAAGCATGTTTGACCCGATTGCGCAACAGACCACCCACATCCTCATTAAATCAATACCGATTTGTCTATAATGAATCCACTCACCGAAACACCACGCGCAGCAAAGTGTTCGAATTTTGGCCACCATACTCTCGAATTACCCTGTTCCCCATTTGAACTTCAGCTGGCAAATATATCAATCTGGAAGGTGTCACCACCACAACCTAAAATAGGCTGTTTACCGTATTTCTTTTCTCATCACAAGCTTTCTCAGCACTTTCATATATCCGTCTTTTTTGAGCTGCTCGGTCAGTTCCTGACGCTCTGCCGGATGATTTTGCCGGACAAGGTCAAAATTTATATTAATAAATAGATTATTAAATCATTACCAAATAATAAAAGGTATCATGGATAGAGCAATTCACATGAAAATTCTCGATTGAATCCACCAGATCTTTCAAGGCGTCATTCACAGGTCATTTCACCTTCTAAAGGAAACATTTTGAATTTAGATAAGATTAAACCTTTGGTGTGGATGCGAATTCTTTTGCAACACTACTTAGAAACTTCTCGTAAAGACAATGATCTAGCAAAAGACGATCCTGAACACTGATTTAAGCATGTTAAAATTTTAACGAACTTTTGCTGGAGCTCACCGAAATATACTCACCGAAAAAAGCAACGGAGAACACCGGCGAATCGGCAATGCAATCGTTATCTCCATTATTTCTGTGAAACGGATGATCATCATAAGCAGTTCTTTTGCGTGGAGCAATGGGGTTGAAGTCATAGCGAGGGAGTGGGCACCTTGGAAAAAAAAGTTCAAGAAAATTTCAAGATGAAATGAGATGAACTGAGATCCAGATTGCAGGATGAAACTATTTCGGACTGAGAAATGTGACAGTACAAGCTCGAAACAGGATCAAAGTCGAGCCTGTGCAAAGCCAAAAAAACTCAAATGCACCTTTGCCTAAAAACAACTTTCTCAATGAACGAAATGCCTTCCAGAATAGACAATGGAAGTTAATTTTCTCGTAAAAATAGCAAGGTTTCACCTGTACACCTTGCAAGTCGTTTTATTCGTTTCTCTTCGGCTCAATGACCCTTGTAAATAGCTTAAACTCTCTTGGGACTCCAAGAAAAGCAATTATCATGATAATAGAGGGCATTTTTAGAAAAGATATTTCCTTGTTTTTCCGTGTACAAGCTCTTGTAGGAGTTGGTCAGAGGTTGTAGAGGTTGAGAAAATTGGGTAATTGAACCGGTCCATTTTGACTAGTGAGCTCATTTTCAGCTAAAAGTCGTAAAATAGGTTCAAAATTCTTTGCTGCCTTCCAGATTGACACTTAAAACTTTAAAAATAGGTTTTATTTTGAAATTAAGATTTTTGGGAGCTCAAGCCGAACGCTGGGTGCAAAAGCCAAGAGTTTTTGAAGAAGCTTGCATTCCACGTTGTGGATTGTCCAATGTGCGCTCCAGATAGCCCAGATTTTCTTTGTTCTGTTATAAGTTTTTTGTATTGTATTTTTGGGTGGGTGGTTGGCTAAATAAAGTTTTTTCGGGTTAATTTCCTCAAATCGTCAAAATCACGCCTCGAAATTCATAAATACACACAAGGGCAAAATACACGATAGAGACCTAATTGTGCGTACCTTTCGAGGTATACCGATGTGCTGAAACTCTCCGTGTCCTGGCGATTAGCGATTAGCAAAGTACAAAAACTCAATTCAGTATTCTGAAAGAGCGTGATAAGAGCTATCGAATGACACATATAACACTTTATGGTCCGATGAAATATGAAATTTCACTAACATCAAAGTCGCCGCCTTTAGTTCTGCAAATTTGGATGAAAGTTTTTGGATTATTTTATTTTTCCTTTCATTTTTGGGTTCAACTTCAAATTTGTAGTGTTCGAATTTTTGATCTAAAGACGATTATCTTTGCTACCTATGTGAAAGCTTATCTTTTTTCGCTTTAATGTGTCATCATAGCAAACACGCGGTTGCAGAAAAAAAAAATTTCGTTAACATTTTTCGAGAATCTTTTTTAAAATCTCGAATCAATTTTTTATCTTATCTTTTTTCGCTTTAATGTGTCATCATAGCAGCCTAAAATGTTTGCCTTAAAGGCTTAGGCTTAGGCTTAGGCTTAGGCTTAGGCTTAGGCTTAGGCTTAGGCTTAGGCTTAGGCTTAGGCTTAGGCTTAGGCTTTGGGCTTAGGCTTAGGCTTAGGCTTAGGCAGAAATTCTTTCAAATAGATTTCAAAGATTCGTAACGTTTTTAACACTTTGACGACCAAGCCACTTTTCGCTCGTCCGTCATTTTGAACGCGATGGTTCTTCCAACTTTTATCATGAAGCGATCATTATCGATGCAAATGTAGCTATTAGATTGAAACATTTCTTTTGTTTTACTGAGAATAAATGCGGGTTTCTAAGATAGCGCCATTTTTGAATTTACAACCCAATAAATCCAAGTTAGATGTATCTAAGTTCTAGTAAGTATCTAAGTAAGACGACGAGCAATTCGATTCAAAGAATTCTTTTCATAAAATAAATCTGGCTCGTTGATCGTTTTGCTGGACAGATTCAATGTCTACTGGAGTACATCAATTGTGCTCATAGTTTATATTCTTTAGTTTTTCATTCCAAATCATCATTTTTCTAGACACTCAAACTATAACTTTGATCATACTTATAGTTACCATGAGAGAGAAATTTGTATCTTCACAGAACATTTCCCCTTTTCCTAAACTCCAGAGCAAAGCTGAAGCTGTTATTTTTGATATTTTTGTCTGTCCTCCATCTCCTCCAAGCAAGATCCAGTAAACATGTTATCTATCGAAGCATGTCCCCAATTAATCTGTCATACATAAGAGTTTTTCAACTCTCCTTTTTTTAAAGTGTTCCAGGGAAACGCTAATCAATAAAATGTATGGTTAAAATTTGTAGTTATCCTAATAGTGTTTATTATGCATCACGATGCCAGTACAAAGTTTAAATTTTATGATTTTATGATTTTTTTTGCGACTCATACTATAGTTATCCCATACTATAATTAGATTGAAAAATTAAATCAGAGCAAAGAGCTCCGTGGGGGAAGGGCAATAGCGCTCAGTAACCCCCCACCAAGTTAACATATCAAATCGTCAACTTAGTGGAGGGTCATTGAGCGCCACCCCCAACTGATCCCGTTGTTATAGATTCAAATCCTTACCTTGATTGTTAGCCCAGACATTGGTGCGTCTCGTTTCGCCCGGTTTGAGTACCATCGTTTTAAACTCCTCCTTAGCGAATGTCTCGATCGTGGTCTTGAATACCCAACCATTATTGTCATGCAATTTCCATCTATTCAAAACCGTTCGCCAGATTGCTCCAGCAAACGGTTTTTCATAGCTCTCTTTCGGAAGAGGTGGGAATACCTGAAAGCAAAAATTCAATTTAAACCATCACAAAACTAACCACACACAACATCGATTCCGACGGATGCTGGTTGCTCAACGTCATCACGTGAGGAACGGGGGCGTGAGAGCCAAACACCATTTTCTGAATCAAAAATTGAATCTATAAAACCTATAGAACTTGAAGAACTTATAGAACTTATAGAAATTGAATCAATAGAAACAGAACTAATAGAGAAAACTGTTAAAGGTTTATGAAACCAAAAAGAAGCAAACCGATCCTTCGTGGGCTGTTTAGCCTTCTTCTCGTCGACAATTGCCAGCTGCAAATAGTCGTTTTTGGCCTGCTCGTTTCCCGCGTGTGCCACGAGTGGCACATTGAACATTCGAAGGAAGGCCGACATCTTGGAAACGTTTTGTGATCAAAGCTAAAGAAATACTCATTTATATAGCGAAAAACAAATGGAAATCAACGATAAACACATGTAAATAATCGGGGTTAAACTCAAAGACAACTATCTATTTTTCTATTTTAGGGTTCAAAAAAGGTTTCTTTTCTTTCATTCTCAAATTTCTATTTATGTGGTCCAAATTGCCGTCGGCAATAAAAACCCGTCGCAAATCCCGACCAGACCATCATCACATTACTATGTGCGTTGCTGGCAAAGTCGCCACCAACTCTTGAAGGTTGGCCCCAACCTTTAAAGGTTGTCCTCAAGCTAGGTTGTCCACAACCTTTCAAAGGTTGTCATCAAATTTTTCTTTTCCTCCGTATGTCAACTTCTAATTGACCGATCAACTTCGAGTCGATCTTAATATGTTCTTTATGAAATTTGGTCATAGAAAACCATAATTTCCTTAACAAAATTTAATTGATTCAGCTTTTACATCTTGAGTTATAGATCATTTAAGTGAATCAGCCCTTTCGGGTAGGTTGTTCTAATTTGACTGAAAATTTCTCTATATTTTTCTATTAAAGTGTGCTAAATAAATTGTGATTTTCTATAACGAAATCTCATAAAGAACATTTTAAGACCAATTACATGTTGATAGGTTAATTGGAAGCCGAGATATCGAGGAGAAGAGAAGAGTCATCAAACTCTGATTCTCTGAGCGGGGTCCGAGATTTATCTTGACTTTGACTCTAATTCTCCCTATGTTCTTCTGGGTAAGTCTACAAAACAGATTCTATATTTTTTTTACTCAAATTTAATGTAAATTCTAATAAAACCAACCATGAATTAATTCAGTTTTTAAATCTTGAGTAATGTATCATTTAACTGGATCGACTCTTTCAAGTAGATAGCCTAATTTTAATAAAGAAATTTCCTATGTTTTTATGGGTAAGTCTACAAAACAGATTCTATATTTCTTTAATGAAGTTTATCGTAGATTCTAATGAAAATAATGAGAAGTTGATTCAGCTTTATAAAAAATATAAAATATTATATTTTCATTATAGGGTTAAATTGAGAGATAAAATAAAAGCATCTTAACACCAACCTTTCTGTTTGTAATCGTTTTAACAACTGGTCCCAATCTGTGCAACTAGAAGTTATCTTTGAAATATTTGAAGCAAGATCCTGTAAAACTTAAAATTAACAAATGTAAAAACTGTTACAAACCTGTCGCGAAAGCTTTTTTCGTCGAACAAGTGAAAAATGCGGCACAAATGAAAAACAATCTTTGCTGTTAACTTTATTACAAGATGGCAACATTACCACATACAGCAAGCTAACAAAACCTCAAGACCTATTACAAAGCCACCACCCGTAAAAACAAGAAAAAATTTCCTAAATAACAAAAAGTTAGTTTTCCATGCTGAATTCCTCGGTATTTATATCGTGATCAATAAAGTTTTTATTCAAAGGATACCAGCGTCCAAGGAAACACAACATCATAAATATTTAGAAGGGGGCTCGTTCAGATACCATCACCTAAAAATAATTTTAAAATAAAAGCAAAGCATAAGGATCTGAAGTTTAAAAAAGTCTAGATTGTTGTGGAAGTTCAACAAAAAATAACTTACGTGAGGTTCTTATTCAGGTTGGATTATGTTGAGTTTATCATCATGTGTATTATCAATGGAAAAAGCCTAAGCACCAGGGATTAATAAAAAAATGGTATAAGATCCACCAGAATTTATAATAAATATGTAATCTGTCTTGATGATTAAGTAGTCGGGTTCGATCAATAAGGGCGTTCTCGGCTTGTGGGCTGTGTATCTAAATAAAAGATAATTTATAATGAACATGGAGAAACAAGTAGGGCTTGGTGTTAAAGCCACCAGATATAAGGTATTAATGCTGTTTTTCCACAAGCCCGTTTTTGAACTCCAGCTCGGATGGTTTCATCTGATAGAGCTAAGTTAGCCCTCCCAGACCACCGAGATTTATCGCTGTCTAAAGTGATATTTAAGATTTGTATTGCTAGTAAAATTTGACTTACTTTCAATGGTTTATTCTTTGGCTCTTTTAACGCGTCAATTGTCATGGTTTTAAAGCCAAAAGGTTGTGGCAAATATCATCGTAGAAGTTTAAAAACCCTTTCCACGTGCCTCCTATTCTTCGAAAGAACGCCATGTATAACGAGCTCTATGCAAAAATCTTCATAAAAACTGTGGATATGTGTTTGAACTGGATAGCTTTTAAGCAATTTTACACCATTTTCATATTTATAAACAACAGAATTAACGTAAAAGAAATAAATATCATATCATAAAACTAGAAAACAATTTAAAGGAGCAAAGAAAAGTTGAGACCGGTATCAAACCACGATTTGAAACTTATAAATCACATGAAAACTTCAGTACAAAAAATAAGTTCAAGCGCGTGCAGGCTCTGCTTCTTTCTCTTCGCGCTCCCTGATGAGGACTGTGACTTCAGCATGTGAAAGCTCCTCGACCACAGATTTTCCATCTTTCCGGAGCAACACCGCCATCTCAAATAAAATTGAAGATCAATTGAGAATTTTGATTGCACATGTTTAAAATTAATTTACTTTTTTCAGGAGCCAGCGTCGCGTCCAACGTCCAACGTCTTCCACAAAACTTTCATCGCAAGTTGTTTAGCTTCGGTGAGCGTTTAATTCTTGTACTCTTGCAGCAACAATGAAACGGTCGACTAAAAGAAAGTGACGAAATAAAAAATTAACTAGATTGTCTCGCCAGGTTGAGCGCGCGCCCCAAAGCTGAAAGTCCATTTTAAAAATTGTGGACTGGATTAGATAATGGGCACCGCTACAGGAGACCCGGCCCAAATACACAAAAATTTTGGTGAAAATCGGTGATCATTTGACTGAGCTAGACCCCTCCCTAGTGATCATGTGAGTGATTATGACGCACCCTGTAGACAAGATTCTCGACATCTCTAGATAACTCGGCTTATCAACCATAATCAGAATGAACATGAGAAATTTCAACCCCGAGTTATCAAGACAGTAAAAACCATTTTAAGCCATCTATGAATCCGAAAAAATTAGTTGTTTCATTTTTGAACGTAAAAACACAAACGTAAAACACAAAAAATGTGAAAGGCGAAAAGAAACTTAGTCTCATTAATGGTTTTCTATAAAGACAACAAGGTGGTACAACGCGAGCTCAGCCACGATTCGCCGATCACTTCCCTCTACTACACTATCGACCATATCAGGCTAAACGTCGAATCGCAGAAGTTCGTGAGTTTGTTTTTGCGTTATGATCTAAATGCTGATGCTTTTGTACAGCCTTCTTTTGCTTCTGCACAGCTTTCTTTTGCTTTGAGTTGCCCGCTCTATAGGCAAGTAATATATACAACCGCTTTTAACTTAAAGGAATGTACTTTTTTCGGAAAAGCGCGGTAGAATTCAATTTTTTCTAATTTTTCAATTGCAAACGCTAAACAAAAGGAAACAACAAAACACCTACAGGCCATTTTAGAAAGCTTCACAAAAGCCAAAACATTTAGATCAAAACCCCGAAAACAAACTCGCAAACTTCTGCGATTCGGCTGATGGGCGATAGTGGAATGGAATATAGTGGGGTGGAGTGGTTGGCGTGTCGTGGCTAAGATCGCGTTGTACCCGAAATACGGTGGGTCAGCAGCATCATCTCTGCAAAAAACATACAGGTTGGTAAAAGGTTTTTGTTATAAATACTAAAAACAGGAAAGAGTGAAAATAAAACAGGCACCCACTCGGGAGCAGCTTGTAGGATGAATGACTGTTCCGAAAGTGTCGCGCCCTTTTTACAAAATCATTAGCTGAATATCTTTTCCCTGAAGTTACTCAGCTAACTGGCGAAACACTCGCTTGCCAATGGGTAATAATAGATTTGCCAAAGGCTATAAAAAGAAAGAAAAGTTTTGCCAATGGTCTGAAGCCGGAGATACGGCGATTTTTGCATTTTCTTTTCTTGCTTTCAAGAGGAAACTCGAATGTTTTTGACGCGTTTGGGTAGTAAAAAACTAAATAACTAAAACTAAAAAACTTGCAATTCTCGGACAACAAAGATCAAAATAAATTAGCTTTAACAAATACCTTTAAAAGCATACAATTTCACTCGTTCAAATCAACGCATTCTTTCAACGATTTATTTTAAAGTTTTTGGAAAATTGTAACAGGGCGAAATATAAAGGCGAGTTTACGCTTAGACTTAGGCTTGAGGCTTTAGGCTTAGGCTTAGGCTTAGGCTTAGGCTCAGGCTTAGGGCTTAGACTTAGGCTTCAGACCATTTCTAGAGATTTTTTTCTAGAGAATACTAATGAAATAGTGGATTTTTTCTAATTCAAAGAAATTCATTGATTATTTCAAGTTTTTATAAAGAAGAATTATGAAATCTTTTTAAATTGAAAGCTTGATCTTTGATAAAGCTTTGATATGAAGCTTGATCTTGATAAAGCTTTGATATGAAGCTTTGATCTTTATATTGTTTGAAATTTGAGGTAAATCAACTAATACGAGATTCTCATTAATAGCATGGACAGAATCGAGAAATCGTGAAATCTATTTGAGAATTAAGAGATGAGACAATGTTTCTTTTTAAAGGGTGTGAAGGGGAGAAGAGGAGGAAGGGAAAAGAAAAGAAGTGTCGCGTGCGAAACATCATTCCCACTCCAAGAAAAAGCTGCAAAAAAGACGAAAATGGTCAAAAAGATTCAAAGAGAGCTTAAAAAGGCCCTATAGATTTCTATAGCTTATAGATGGAGTTCTACAAGAGCGACAAAAATAAATGAAACGCAATGAGTGTTTGTTATTCTTCTGATTTGGGATTTCTCTGCTCATTTCCGTTTCTCTTTAGTTCTCTGCTTATTTATCTTGAAATTATTGATTTATCTGCTCTTACAGTGTTTTAACAAATTCTGCTGCTTATTTCTATCAATCAAAGTTTTTTAAAGTTAATCAAGAGAAACGGGTAATTTGTTTAAGTGTTAAAAAGATGAAAAAGATGAAACGAACTTGGTAATCCTTCTGGAACAGATTTTCATACTCCTTTTAAAACTCTGAATCCACGTATGGGTATGGGATACTTTAAAGTTCTCAACTGGAGTCTGAAGAGATCCATTAATTCTAATACCTATTTGGCGCAAATCATAATCGTGAAGCGCTATTCCTTCCATTAACTTTTTCTCCACATCTTCGGCCAAAATATCTCGAATCCTCTTCAGTTGGCTGATCCTGTTCATTTTTGCCGCTTGATTTTTTTCAAAAACGCGAAGCCGATTCATGTGGTCTTTAGTCTTTATCCAGCGAAATCTGGACGTCATACTACTCAAAGTTCGCATGCCTTTCTGACTTGAGCGAAGATGGGAAATTGCTGCGTGTAATTGTTTTGTTGATATGGAGGGTTCCATCAAAATTTACCATTGAATCTGCTGCAATTAAGGCACTTTGTGGAGTGTCGTCAATATCCCAGCATTCGTCGTCAGTATTGATGCCACTCTCCTCTTCAAAATCTTCCTCGCTCTCAACAATCATACTTCCGCATTTCGCTTCCTGAAGAATTCGCACAAAATAATCGGCAATTTTCTGCTCCTTTCTATTCAAAAGCCCGTTGCCGTGAAGCCGTCTCAAACTCGTCCACAAGACGTCTCACAATCATTCCTTCATCGAACTCCATCTAAAACTATTTATTTTCAAAAACTATAAATTTGAAACGTTCAAAAAATGTTTAAAACTTTTCAAAATCAAAAAATGTATGTAGCGCGACGGAGATATGGCTCGCTTCCCGCATGGGGACTGACACCGTTAATTATTTATGCAATTTAATGTAAACGGGTTGGGCTCCCTATGTATATTTTTCGTGTGCCAAAATATGTACGATTGTGTGCGGAGACAAGGAGCCACGCAGAAACATGACAAAAAAGATGAATGAAAAGACAAGGGAATTGAACCCGTAAGGTCTCGCCCTATACCCTAGCCGATTTACCACTCGGCCACCTCTGCACCTCTTTCGCTTCTAAAAGTCCGGGTTTAAGGTCTCTGTTTGATTTTTCAAACTTCTAACAAAACTTTGCAGGCCTATAACTTTGACAGAAGGCCATTTAGCAAAAACGGAAAGCAGATTCGATTCAGCGTCAAATTTTATTCGAGATGTCTATGGCTCATGTCATTTGGCCAGCCGATCCAGTTGACCTTCCCTTGTAAGTAGAAGTTATCTAAAACAGTCTACTGAGCGCGGACGGGTCCGCACAAATAGCAGACAGGCAGCTGATCTTTACAGATCTTTCCCGTGATTCCGAGACGAGATATGGCTTCTATTCTGGGCTCGGGATTAGATTAGTCCAATTTCAGGATTCGCAATCGATTGGGCTTGGCGAGAGATCTACTTACTGAATCGACAAGAGCGAGCGATCCACGTTTGCGAACTGGACGGGCGACTCTGCAAAACACTCATCCTCGACAGAATCCAACAGCCGAAAGCGATCGTCGTTCACCCGCAAAAGGTAAAAAGCTTCCTGTAGTTTCTGTAGGATCTATAGAATCTGTAGAATCTATAGAATCTAGAGAATCTATAGGATCTATAGGGTCTCTAGAATCTAGAAGATCTCTAGAATCTATAGGATCTATAGGGTCTCTAAGATCTAGAGGATCTCTGGAATCTAAAGGATCTCTGAAATCTAAAGGATCTCTGAGTTCTATAGGATCTAGATGGCCCATAGGATCTGTAGAATCTATAGATTCTAAGAGATCTATAGGATCTCCAGGGTCTTAGGATCTCCAGGATCTCCAGGGCAAAGAGCAACAAAAAATGTCTCATGTTTCAAAGAAAAATCCGTTTCAAATTCGATTCCCAAAGCCAGTTCTACAATTTGCAATTTCTCTTTTATTATGTACACTTTTTTTAGCTTAAAAACAATTAGATATATATCAGTTTGAATCCGATTTGAATTGAAACACTGTTTCACGTTTAGATCGAGTGTTTTTTTGACCAATTTTCGTGTGTTTTAGCAATTATAGGCTAAACAAAAGCGTTAAATAAACTTCAAAATGTCTAAAATCGCTACAATTACTATAGTCTAAAATTACTACAATTACTAATCACCTAAAACTTCCAAAAAAGTCTATAAATTTGTTTTCCTTAAAACTAGAAAAACAGCTTATAAACAGCTTATAAACAGCACAAAATCTCGCATAAAGTATCAATTCTTGTCAAGAAGTTATGTTGCTACGAAAACGAACGTGAAATCAACTAAAAACTATAAAAAAAAAAGCACTAAAAAACACGCAATTTAAGCTTCTAAACAGTGTTTGAATCAAAATCGAATATATATTAGGTTGGCAACTAAATAATGGCTCCTCGCCCTTTTTTGATAAAATCTTTTAATCTTTGCGTTTAATCTACCCTCGCTTGTTGTTAATTGAATATTACTGAATTTCTGGTGCATTATTATACGTTTTTTACTTTCCTTGATTTGATACTTTTCAAATAATTTTGTTTAGAAATGGAAGATCTCAAATATCGAATGCGTGTCTGTCTCTGGTACGACTACAAACAAGACAAAACAGCTGCCGAATCTCACAGAGATTTATTGCGAGTTTTTGGTGATGAAACTCTTCCGAAACACAATGTAAGAGATGGTATCGACGGTTCAAGGAAGGGGATGAAAGTCTTGAAGATGAGCCTTTGCCAAGGACGACCCTGAACTCGCAGAACGATATTTTGGAAGCAGCTTTAAAGGAGGATCCAAGTCAAACATCACGCGAGCTAGGGGATCGATAGGGCTTTTCGCATACTGCAATCGAAAAGCGACTTCATGCATTGGGGAAAAGTAACCGCAGTGGAAAGTGGATTCCGCATGAATTGAGCGAAGAAAATAAGGCTACTCGTGTTATCACAGCTGGAATACTACTAAAACTTGCGAAAAAGGGAAGCTTCTGGATTCCATTGTCACTCTGATCAAAATGGATCTTTTATGATAATCGAACGCGAAAACGACAGTGGCTTAGCACAAACGAAGACCCAAAACCAACTCCGAAGCCGGATATTCACTCAAAGAAAACTCTCCTCTGTGTGTGGTGGAGTTCTCGTGGGTTGTGCATTTCGAGGTTCTCAAAAGCCAGCAAACGGTTAATTCAGAACTCTATTTGTCTCAACTACATCGTGTAGATCAAGCAATTCGCTCTCAAGGACTCGAACCCTCTTCAATTCATTTTCTCCATGATAACGCAAAACCACACACTGCAAAACTTACAATGGAGAAAAATCGAGGAGTTGGGCTGGAATGTTCTTCCTCATGCGCCATACAGCCCGGATATGGGGCCTAGTGATTACCATCTTTTTCGATCGATGCAATCTATAGAATCTGTAGGATCTAGCTAGAATCTGTAGAATCCATAGAATCTAGAGAATCTATAGGATCTATAGGGTCTCTAGAATCTAGAAGCTCTCTAGAATCTATAGGATCTATAGGGTCTCTAAGATCTAGAGGATCTCTGGAATCTAAAGGATCTCTGAAATCTAAAGGATCTCTGAGTTCTATAGGATCTAGATGGCCCATAGGATCTGTAGAATCTATAGATTCTAAGAGATCTATAGGATCTCCAGGGTCTTTGGGTTCTCTAGGTTCCATAGGATCTAGAAGATCTCTAGAATCTATAGGATCTATAGGGTCTCTAAGATCTAGAGGATCTCTGAGTTCTATAGGATCTAGATGGCCCATAGGGATCATAGAACCTATAGGACCTGGAGGATCTTTAAGGTCTATAGGTTCTATAGGTTTATTGGACCTATAGGATCTATAGAGCCTATAGGATCTAGAGGATTTATAAGATCTATAGGTTCTATAGGTTCTATAGGATCTAGAGGATCTATAGAACCCAGGAGCCTAGAACTAGGGTCAAAGTAACATAGAAAAAAACGATGAAAAGCTTATCTCTACCTTCTAGGGTTATCTCTACCTCACCGAATGGAGTCTTCAATCATACTTTGGCCGAATGGCGCTTGATGGATCGCCGGACAAAGCTGATCCCATTGAAAAGGTATAGAAAAGAATTTAAAAATGTGTCTAAAGATCTTTATGATCTGTTTATAGAGCTCCAACCTGTGTTTGAAGAGTTTTAGGATCTGTCTCCAGATCTTGAAGAGCTTCAAGATCTGTCTCCAGATCTTAAAGGGCTTCAAGATACGACTAAAGGCCCTCAAAAGCTCTAGCTGTTAACTTCTGACCTCTTTTGTACCGTGATCCCCTGTTGTTTTGCAGAAATGATGACTGCGGCGATGCATCGATGAGATCGGTTGCAATAAACACAATGGAAAGACTTGTGAAAGTCATGGCGACAATGGAGGATGCAAACATTTCTGCACGGATATCAGTGATGGGTAAGTGATGTGCCTTGCTCCCAAATCATCATCTACTTTCTGCCCCTACACACATGCTTTCTATTGCACTAAAGGCCTCATTCTTCTTATTGAATGAGAGCTTTGAGGCTCTTCTATCTTTCAAATTCTTGCGCTCAATTCCTTGATCTCTAATTCTTAAGCTCTAATTCCTTCAACTCTAAGCTTTGCCTTTTCTTGTCCTCAAATTCCTGGCATTAAATCCTTCACCTCACTTCCTTTCCTTTAATTCCTTGACCTCAATTTCCTGAGCTCTAATTCTTGCCCTCAAATTACTGACCTCAATTCCTTGCCCTCAATTCCCTTCCCCTCAATGCCTTCCCTCAACTCCTTGCCCCAATTTCATTTCTTCTGCTATAACAGTGATTTCAGTTACTACTGTCATTGCCGTGATGGCTTCCAAACGGATCCCCAGAATCCTCTCGACTGTATCGATGTGGATGAGTGCAAAGGAAATAACACTTGTATTCAATTGTGTCTCAACACAAAAGGATCATATCTTTGTCGATGCACGGATAATTATGAAAACAAGGTGGTTGTCGGAGCGATGACTGGAAAAGATTGTCGAGCGAACCGGCTGAGGTGAGGCTAGGGAAGTTGAGCTAGAGCTCACCGATCATAGCTCGTCGTGTATAATCGCTGATGATAGACAGCCTGAGACTGAACATAAGGCATAAAGCCGCACTCAGACGGCAATGGGATAAGTGTTAGGGCGGCTGATTGGTGAAGCGTTGGCGCAGTGAGGGAGAGATCACCGGGATCCAAGAGATCGGGATCCAAGAGATCGACCGGGATCCAAGAGATCGGGCGGGATCCAAGAGATCGGCCGGGATCCAGGGATTGGGCGGTATCCAAGAGATCGATCGGGATCCAAGAGATCGCGCAGTTAGGGAAGAAATCACGAGGAAGCGAGAGATCGCGAGATAGGCCAAAGATCGCGCGGTAAGGGAGAAAGAGTAAAGAAAGATTGGTTGATTTGTGAAGGAGTAAAAGAAGAGATTTTTCAAGAACTGAAGCAAGTGATTTGTCAAGAACTAAAGGAAATGACTTATGAAGAAGTAAAGAAAAAGGTTTCTCGACTATGAGAAGTCCAAACGAGTCTCGCTTCGAAGAATCGAACGTAAACTATTCAAAAAAAGTGACTCAAACCCCTAAACATTGTTGGTCTTGGATTCCAAGAAATTCGAATTTAAAACTTCATTTTTTGAATCTAGAACAAAGAGAAGAAGGCATAAGCAGAGATTTAAAAGAGCATTTTCTAGGACAGCATTTACTCACCTACTTCAATGGCTGTTGGTGAGGGGAAAAGACAATCGGATCTTCTGGGCTGATCCCAAATTCAAGTTTATTGAAAAATTTATTGATTTTATTCAAAAAAGACTATTCTAGACGTGTGTTCTCAATTCTGCCTGATGGCACTGATCGACAAATGGTTGTACAAGCCACTGAGAAAGATGATAAAGCGATTCCGTTTGCGATTGATGTTTTTTGAGAATCATCTTTACTGGGCTTCAAGGAGACCAAAACTCTTTATGTACAGGTGGGTGTAAATTCTGAGCTTACTAGTAAGACGACAAGGTACTCAGGAAGACAATAGGACACTCAGGAAGACAGTAGGACACTACTAAGACAGCAGACTCTTTTAGTGAGAAAGTTTGCACAATTAACAAAAAGATTAAAAATATTTTGTAGCAAGCCTCTTGGGGGTTTTAAAATCAGGTACTGTAGCTATATATATACAGGTAATGCAAATAACTTGAGTGTGTTCCTCACAGTGTTTTCTAAAAGACGGATAACTTGGAAAAACTACCGTAACTTTTCTCTAGGCTTTGTTTTTTCTTTTTTTTTAGTGCAAGATAACGCTAAAGCCCACACCGCAAAAGTCATTCACCAAAAACTCGACGAGTTCGGTTGGAAATTTTTGCCCCACGCGACTTAGCCACTTCTGATTTCTTCTGCTTTGATCATTAAAGCACTTCTGGTAACTTTGAAATTGTCGATGAAATGGAAGTTTCAAATTAGATAAGATTCAGCGCTTTTGGAGAAATTAATCGGTTTTTTATGTTTTTTAAAAAATCATCAAAAGCAAAGGGTTTTTTGATTTTCAAGCATTATTAAACATTTTTGCAGTGAATGTTGGTCAGTTTCAAGAAAAGTTTCAATTAATTGTGAGTTTCAAGAAAACTAGAATAATTTGTAAAATATCACACACGACACTGCACTTTTTTTGTTTACCGGTAACACGCGAGCATATGGTAGAGTGATGGGTCTTTTGAGCTAAAAGCACTCAAACTATAAACTTTCCGTAAATCCCAAGCCAAGGTCAAGATTTCAGGCCGAATCCAATGATAAAAGGTTGAAATTCGAGGGTAATTGAAGGCCATTTGGCTTGAATTGGCTTTGCTTTAACTTTTTTCTAAACAATCTAAACCTTAACAATCTACCCAAGAATAAATCATACGTTTAAACTTATACAAGCCTTAGACGACTTATAAGTATTAGGTTGATGCAAAAGTCTTTTTCATTTTTTCGTACTTCTGTTAAAAAGTAACAAATTCACCAATTAATCTATAGTTTGCTCTATAAAAAAAGTGTTTTTTTGTTCAATTTCCATCTTTTAAATCAATTCTCGGTTCACTTTCAAGCAAATTCGAGAGTGAAAAACGCCTTTTTCGTAAAAATCTATAAAAACTCTACGAAGAAATTGGCTGAATGAATTTCTCTGAAATTTTGGCGAAATATCAAACTTTTTTTTCTCTATCTTTTATCTATTGACACGAAGATAGGTTTTCTTTAGCTAAGGTGTCTAAACCGCATCATCGAGTTAGCCCTTTTTGACTACCCGACTTCATACTCTCAAGAAAATCCAGGCATAAAATATTTTTAAACCCGTTTTAATGTTATTTTGCAGAAAAATAATTGGTTTTTCTAATGAAATCAACCGTAGTTTAATTGGTGCATTTGTTGGCTTGAAACGGCAGACGAAAAAAATGAAAAAGACTTTTGCATCAACCTAATAGAATCGAATAAAAGCAAATCCAAAGCAAATCCTTTCAAATTCATTAACTAATCAAGAACACTAAAATCTTTAGACCCTGAGAACTCTTGTAAGCCCAAAACATTAGAAAAAAACTAGTTTCAACGTATTCATGATCTACAAGATGTGGCAAATTACGGATACACCTTTTGAGCAGATTTTATGCCAAACACCGCAATCAATTCAAATTTTTTAGTTAGAAAACAACTAAAAATGGAAGCGGACCGGAGACTGTTTGGATTGAGCTTCTTGAGAGCCTGAAAAATAGGCTGCAAAACTCGAGTCAAAAATCTTTTTGGTACAGAAATGTAGGAGCAAGAATTCAGGCTTCAAATCTCTATATAACACTTAGGGTTTTTGAATTGATTGCGGGGTTTGGGATGCAATCTGCTGAAAAGGTAATTTTGCCGCACCCTGTAACGTTAACGGATTGCATCAATCACTTGACGATCTTGATATCATTGCGATTTTTGCTTCTTTGCTAATTTCATTTTTATATATTATTAATATTTTATTCTTTAATCTAAACCTTCATCATTTGTCCACTGATTTCCCTCTCGATTGTCCACGGATCCGAGGCTACACGAACGTTCGATTCCTCGACTGAGAAACAGGTTTGGGTCTGAAAAAATAGCAAATTTGATTAGATTTGACTAAAGGATAGGAAAAAATCATTTATATATCATTTATAAACATTTATAAAGGTTTATAATCATTTATAATCATTTGTAATCATTTGTAATCATTTGTAATCATTTATAATCATTTTATAATCATTTATCAGGTTGGCAACTAAATAATGGCCCTTTTCAGTAAAAACAAAAAATTTATTAACAAGATGAACAAATATCAACATCAATCCAAAAGGTATTCTCCGTCATTCTTTATTACTTCTTTCCACTTTTGACGGAGCAACTGGATTCCTCTCTTGAAAAATTCTTCTGGTTGATCGTCAAAGAACTTCTGCACTGAAATTCGGACTTCGTCAAGGTCATTGAACTTTTCTCGGCTAGAAAGTGTTGCATCGATCGAAAAAGATGGTAATCACTAGGCCCCATATCCGGGCTGTATGGCGCATGAGGAAGAACATTCCAGCCCAACTCCTCGATTTTCTCCATTGTAAGTTTTGCAGTGTGTGGTTTTGCGTTATCATGGAGAAAATGAATTGAAGAGGGTTCGAGTCCTTGAGAGCGAATTGCTTGATCTACACGATGTAGTTGAGACAAATAGAGTTCTGAATTAACCGTTTGCCGGCTTTTGAGAACCTCGAAATGCACCAACCCACGAGAACTCCACCACACACAGAGGAGAGTTTTCTTTGAGTGAATATCCGGCTTCGGAGTTGGTTTTGGGTCTTCGTTTGTGCTAAGCCACTGTCGTTTTCGCGTTCGATTATCATAAAAGATCCATTTTTGATCAGAAGTGACAATGGAATCCAAGAAGCTTCCCTTTTTTTCGCAAGTTTAGTAGTATTCCAGCTGTGATAACACGAGTAGCCTTATTTTCTTCGCTCAATTCATGCGAATCCACTTTCCACTGCGGTTACTTTTCCCCAATGCATGAAGTCGCTTTTCGATTGCAGTATGCGAAAAGCCCTATCGATCCCCTAGCTCGCGTGATGTTTGACTTGGATCCTCCTTTAAAGCTGCTTCCAAAATATCGTTCTGCAGAAGTTCGGGTCGTCCTTGGCAAGGCTCATCTTCAAGACTTTCATCCCCTTCCTTGAACCGTCGATACCATCTCTTACATTGTGTTTCGGAAAGAGTTTCATCACCAAAAACTCGCAATAAATCTCTGTGAGATTCGGCAGCTGTTTTGTCTTGTTTGTAGTCGTACCAGAGACAGACACGCATTCGATATTTGAGATCTTCCATTTCTAAACAAAATTATTTGAAAAGTATCAAATCAAGGAAAGTAAAAAACGTATAATAATGCACCAGAAATTCAGTAATATTCAATTAACAACAAGCGAGGGTAGATTAAACGCAAAGATTAAAAGATTTTATCAAAAAAGGGCGAGGGCCATTATTTAGTTGCCAACCTAATATATATTCGATTTTGATTCAAACACTGTTTAAAGCTTAAATTGCGTGTTTTTTTAGTGCTTTTTTTATAGTTTTTAGTTGATTTCACGTTCGTTTTCGTAGCAACATAACTTCTTGACAAGAATTGATACTTTATGCGAGATTTGTGCTGTTTATAAGCTGTTTATAAGCTGTTTTTTCTAGTTTTTAAGGAAAACAAAATTTATAGACTTTTTTTGGAAGTTTTAAGTGATTAGTAATTGTAGTAATTTTAGACTATAGTAATTGTAGCGATTTTAGACATTTTGAAGTTTATTTAACGCTTTTGTTTAGCCTATAATTGCTAAAACACACGAAAATTCGTCAAAAACACTCGATCTAAACGTGAAACAGTGTTTCAATTCAAATCGGATTCAAACTGATATATATCTAATTGTTTTTAAGCTAAAAAAAGTGTACATAATAAAAGAGAAATTGCAAATTGTAGAACTGGCTTTGGGAATCGAATTGGAAACGGATTTTCTTTGAAACATGAACATTTTTGTTGCTCTTTGCCCTGGAGATCCTGGAGATCCTAAGACCCTTGAGATCCTATAGATCTCTTAGAATCTATAGATTCTACAGATCCTATGGGCCATCTAGATCCTATAGAACTCAGAGATCCTTTAGATTTCAGAGATCCTTTAGATTCCAGAGATCCTCTAGATCTTAGAGACCCTATAGATCCTATAGATTCTAGAGATCTTCTAGATTCTAGAGACCTATATAGATCCTCATAGATTTTCTAGATTCTCATAGATTCTACAGATCCTATAGATCCCACAGAAACTACAGGAAGCTTTTACCTTTTAGGGGTGAACGACGATCGCTTTCGGCTGTTGGATTCTGTCGAGGATGAGTGTTTTGCAGAGTCGCCCTTCCAGTTCGCAAACGTGGACCGCCCGCTCTTGTCGATTCAGTAAGTAGATCCTCCTGCCAACCCAATCGATTGCGAATCCTGAAATTGGACTAATCTAATCCCGAGCCCAGAATAGTAGCCATATCTCGTCTCGGAATCACGTCGCGGAATGTTGATAATATCAAGCACACCTCAGCTTCCCTTTCACCCGAGCAACTTCCAAAGCAGAAAGGCATGTCGATGAAGAGACCAGCAGTCGATTGAAACAAATCTCAGCTGATAGCTTTGCAAAGATTGTTAAAGGAAAGGTGAGATTAAGCATATGGTTACAAATATTTAAACTAGAAAGATAAACTTTTAAAATACCCACAAATTTAAGTTTTTATAAATTAAATTAAATATTTCAAGGTAAAGATGGAACAAACTGCCGCTGCTCCAATTCTTTCCGATTCTCTTCGCCTTTCATCAAGGGAAAGTCGATGCTCGATTGATGAAGGAACGAAAGAATATTCTGAGGCATGTAAATAACAATAAACCCCGAAATACTTCATTTTAAGATCCTTAAAGCGTCCATCCTTCCAAATATTAATGATCCCGATGGAACTAATCGAAGTATTGTGAAAAGGGAAGCCGAGGATAGAGGATGGGCGATATTTTCGGCTCAAGTACACGATACATTTGTTCGAGTACAACAATTTTCAAAAAGGTTGGATTGATTGAAAGTGAATTATAAATTCAAATCTAATTTAGCTATTGGCAACTCATTCGAATAAAATGGGTGTAATGAATATGGTGTTCCCGACAGACGATAACCGAAAATGCAAACTCTGCGATGTGGTCGGTGATGCCGAGACCACTACACAGGTTTGGCAAATTAAATTATGATAAAAACTTTTAAATATCCAGAACAATCAAAGCAAAATGATAGGCCGCAATTTGGGGCCGTTTGTTGAATTTCGATGTCGATCAATGGGTTCATGTGAATTGTGCACTTTGTAGCGCCGAAGTTTTCGGAGAGTCCATCAACTGGAGCTCTGTCACATGTAAAAACATAAACCCTTCATAGAAAGCAGCTTTCCAATTGGAAACTGATTTGACCAAGCTCAGGTATGATCCTTGAACTGATCTACTATCTGTATGTACAGGGTGATCGATAACAAGGAAAACAAGGTAACAAGGATAACTTCTACACCCTCAAACCCTTTTGATCATCCTCC